TGGAGGCGTGTTCTTCAGCTTCTGGGTTTTGGCTCATTTGTATCCTTTTGCAAAAGGGCTTATGGGAAGAAGAGGAAGAACACCAACCATAGTGTATGTGTGGTCAGGTTTGATAGCCATTTCTATATCACTGCTTTGGGTTGCCATTGATCCTCCTTCTGGAAGTGGGAATCAAATTGGGGGAGCATTTCAATTCCCTTGATGTGGCACTTCTTGTAAGTAGTTCCGGATACCACATTGTTGCTTATATAGATTATTTTTTGTACTTATCATTCATTATTGACCTTCATATTGCTTAGATTTTTTTGTTTTATTACACTGATTATGCAACTTTCTCTGTGATCCAGATCTTGCTCTCTCTCTCTCTCTCTCTCTCTCTCTGTGTGCCCCCCTCCCTAAAACACACGCGCGCGCGCGCGCACACAATTCTTAACGGGTTTATATTTTCCAGTGACAGTCTTCTTTGTTTTTTTAAGCCTACAGACTACAGTTAGGGTGGTGTATATTCAGCGAAAGTGAATTATTTAGCTGTTAAAAAAAGAAGTAAAACTACTGATCAATATATCAAATTTAACATCATATGATTGTGTGATTGATATAAAATGTCAAAAACATGATTTATTTAAAGGACAGAAAGGAAATTTGAGATAAATTCAATAGATTACAAAAATATTAGACAATTTCAAATATAGTTAAATATTAAATGCCTACAAATATTTTCGTAAGATGATTCTGCACTGCAGGGAGGAAAAACAAAATAAAATTTTGCGCACTCACTTACTTTGCAACCTCAAAAACGTTTTTTTTTTGTAATCCCATCTTGTGGATAAATGGTGGCCTCACATATATTTGGGGATGCATTTATCAGATTTATCTAACACGGCTATATATTTAGGATTTGAACTCAAAATCTAAGATAAACTGATTTAACTCCTTTTCTTTCGACCAGTTGAACAAAGATCCCTCATACTTCAAAGACATGTTGATAAAAGAAAGTTGAACTGGGCTGATAAACACAAACTAAGTGGGTCAAGTCTAATGATGAAGTCACATTATCCTAAAGGTAGGCAAATGCACCCTCTCATTTTGTAACTTTACATCCTATATTCTAAATTAAATAAAAATATTTGAGTTCAAAATCTTAAAAAATGTGTAACATTTTAAAGATGGAAATGAGATATAAGAGCATACTTATATAAAAGACCCTATTAGCATATTCAATATAATTTTTGAAAAAGAAAAATAATCATCAATCTACTTATATAGTTATAATTTCAGTTATAGTATAATTATTATTTTTAAAAAATTATTAAATTTTAAATTAAATTATCTTGCATCCTTTGCTCCACCACAGGTCAATTCTATCCCTTAGATCTCAATGTTGTGGACAGTCACATATTATACATAACCTCGAATCAAGTTTCTTGTATAAATAAATACAATGAAAGTCAATCCAATTATTAAGAATCAAACATGATGTGCATAAATTTATTTAACAACAAAAACATTTTTTTATAAATAATTTGGAGGGTAAATTATATCTTTAATTTAAAGGACTGAAAAAATTTCCTCCATGAATTTCAGTATAAATACAAAGAGCTTTTGTTTCACTTATTTGATGCTTGGCTCGATTTTGTGCAAAATTTATTAATTTATTTCTTTTGGGTATAATCATTTGGTATTCAAAGCCGACAATCCTGATTAATCTGAATTCGAGCACCATGGAATTTCAAAGAAGGTGACTTTTTCAAGAATATTTTTTCTATTTTCATCGCCCTAAGGATCAAATTCAAAAGCTAATAATTAAAGGAACTCAAACCGTTTGTCACTTGAGCGATCATACGTTGGTGAAATTTAGTTTTAGTTGATGGCTGAGCTTGACAGAATTAGAGTGGACATGGACAATGGAGTCGAGTCGGGCTGGCTAATAAAACCATCGTTCATAATGAAATAACATTTCTCACCTTAAAAATAAAATTATATCAATTCCTATAAAATAATCTAGAGTTAACCAAATTGGTTAGTACTAGTGATATGATAGCGTGCATAGTTTTAAGTTGGAAGCCACTAATACCATGATTTTAACAAAACGACTAAGTACTTTTTTCAAAATTACGATTGTAGATGTTTTGGTAAAAATATGATTTTTTTTATACAAGGTAAAAATATGATTTTTAATTCATGAACATTTTTTAAATTATCCGTATAGTATTTGAACTTTGATTCATGAGTCAAAACAACTTGAATATTTTAATTTCTTAACTTGAACAACTCATTCTTTATAATTTTTTGATTTCATGTAATTTAGTTTTTTTATAATTCTTTAATTTAATAAATTACAGTAACTGCATCATAATGTACTAAGGTTTATGAATAAAATTGATAATTGAAAAAAAAATTAAAGAATAAAAATTATATTATCATGTTCTTTCAACGTAAAATCAAACAGACATCATCTTCTTTTTTTTTTTACCAACAAACACACATCATCTTGATATGACTAAATCTAACTTAATATTGACGAGCATAATCAAACTTGTGGGGTCAGGTTTTGGCCCCTAATTTCTACATTGACATATTCATTTGTACGAAGCAACATCATGAGGTGAACTTGAGCAATCTTTTCTCATTTGTTGTTATATATGTTTCTAGATCCGTTTAACACAACCTCTTTGGCTTTCATGTACACACACCAAGTAAGAAAGTAAAATTAAATTGGTTCAAATTGTCAAGCAAATTAGGTGGTGACATTGTCAACTCTTTAACCTAAGCTCTCATATAGTTGACCCTAATAATTTTTTAAAAAAATACTACTTTTAATCTCTACACTTTGTTTAAATTTTAATATAAATATTTTACTTAATTTTCAATATTTCAAGTCCCTACACTTTTCTTCGTCTACAACATTGATGTCTACATTTTCAAAAGAAAGTTGGCATGACATAAACGGTATTAATAATGTTAATATATCAATCAATATCATTAATTTTGTACATATATATGAAAATGATACTGACATAAAATTATTTAATAAGCAACAATTTAAAAAGCCTACATCAAATAAAATCAAATGGTTGATCTGGACTTTTTAAATGATCAGCAAAAAGCCTAAATTCCATATAGGCTTTTTTTTAAAACAAAATTTGCTCATTAAAAATTTCATGTTACTGTCAGTTTGACACATGAGTATAAGATTAATAGTATTAATTGATATACCAGTATTATTAATACTATTTGTGTCATGTCAACATTTTTATGAAAACATAGGGATCAATGTTGCGATAGAGGAAAGTATAAAGACTTGAAATATAAAAAAAAATTGTAAAAACCTATATCAAAATCTGAACAAAATGTAGGAACAAAAATAATGTTTTTCCTGTGTTTATCCTCCAAAACTGCACTGTATGAAACCCCAGGGAAGTGGAAAATCGAGTTGCGGTTGACCAACCATAATTCATTGCACAAATAACCTCTTGCCTACGTTGTATCTCTTAAATTTCTGAGTTGCCAAGGAACCATTCTGAACATATATTTTTAAACAATTACGTGAGAATTTTTGCTACTGTTTTGAATTTCCCAGTTAGACCAACCATTCATCATGATGAATTATTATATATTTATATATATATATACACAATCACGTATCCATGTATTTAAAGAGTAAATGAAAGAAATTATTTGAACGAACAACTTTCACAAATCTCCCTCTATCAATCGATTCTCTCACATATAATTGATATGGCTTTTATTAAAAAAAATATATTGAGTGTAAAATTGTGAATTGTATTGTTCATAACTTTTTAAACATAAAAATTAATACTAATAAAAGTTGGTTATAAAAAATTGACTTATAATTTTAGAATTTATAAATATAATCAAAACAAATTGACAACTAATTCTTATAAATAATATCGGCAAAATGCATGTAAGTACGTGTCTATTTTTTCAAAATATAGCAAGTGGTGAAGGAAAAAGAAAGTTTAACTACTAGTTTAGTTAATTAGATTCAATAATATACCAACTGATAGGATCAATTCATATATTTCAACTAATGCTCAACGGACAAACAATAACTGATAATTTAATTAGTCGGTTCACCGGATATCTGAACCAAACGGATAATCATATATTAATAATTCATCTCTCTCTCTCTCTCTCTATATATATATATATGTATGTATGTATGTATGTATATGCAAATGCAACTATCTTGGGACATACTTTGTTTTAACTTGTCGCGAATACATAATAAAAATCACATCACTTTGTGTTAGCTAGAGACATGATGATATATAATTGAAGATTCATAAAATCAGTACCTTAAAATGTTTACTTAGAATTAATTAAAAATAACATTAACCATTGGGCATTGACGATATATATTTCTTCATAAACATATAATATAGCAAACGATGTAATGAAATTATTTTTATATGGATAAAGGTTTTTTTCTTCTTTTAAATGTAACGAGAGGACAACAATGAACCGTTCCTCCGTCCAATGATCATGTAGTAATTGTCAAGTAATAATATTATTATTATTCATTTTTTTTAATTATAAAAAATAATGAAACTTCCGGCCAAAAATGCCAATATGAAACTACGCATCACAGCCACAGGTAGGTATTTTGTCATTTTAAAATTATACTAATTGATAATTATTAATTAATTATTGATTTCAACCAATTGGTCGGTTTCTTCGGTTTCAATTAATTTGATCGGAACGTAAGGGAACTATACAGTGCTCGATCAGAAAAGATAGCGTGCATGCTGACCAAAAAATGTTCGTTCTCTTGATATTTTTCTTTTAATTATACATTGATCTTCATATTTTATTATTTTCTTTATATCGAGGGCTGGAAAGATTGTGTCTGTTTTTTTTTTAAATTATTTTTAGTTCAACTAGTAAATAATAATATTTTTTTAAAAAAATCCTAAGTCTTGGCGAAACATTCAATTAGCTTATCGACCCTACGAGTAGTAACAGGTTCAATGGAGACATCGCGATAAGGCCAAATTTATTGAACGAGGTCAATCTCTGACCCAAATTATTAACACATCTCCACCACATCTATTTAATTACATGATCACGCTTCAAATGTTCAAAAAATGACCCTGTTTAATGAAATTGTTTTTATTATTCCTATAAAAAAAATGCCACACATTATTATGTACACATATCCGCTCAATCATTATCAGTCAGCCTCATCACTATCATCCACCGGTGTTACGTTTCGGCTTCTCCGCCTAGAATGTCGACGGTGGCTGCCGCCAAACTTCAACCTACCAGTTTCCTTAAACCTCTGTTTCTCCGACGGGTCAATGACACATTCAGGCAACGGCACAGGGTACCTCAATGTATCATAACAATAAGAGTAGTACATGTAACGCTGGCGGAACCGACGCATGGCGAAGCGGCTCATGGGGGTGATGGTGGCGTAGTCTTGGGCTAGGAGATAGGCGTGTCGGTCGGAGCAGACGCCGTCAATGTCTGAAACCTCTTGGATCGGGTCGACGGAACAACCGTGAAGGGCTAGGTCTTTGAATTCAGCAACAAAAGGTGCATACTTGTAGTTAACTTTGTATTTGCCACCAGAGGTAGCCCAATTTGATGCGTCCCATATTGTGGCGTATAAGGACATTGGCTTTGAAGGGTATTCTTGTCCCATTGCTTCACTACGTACCACTTCTCTTATTGGAACTTCATCGATGTAGAATCTGCATTTTAATTAAATTAACGTGTGTGTACATCAATTTCATAGTTAATTAATTATATTATATATATAGGCACGACCAAGATAATCATAAAAGAAGTTGAGATTTTAATTTCTTTTTTAACTAATAGGTTAGATAATTATAAAGATTATATTTAAAATTATATTTTTTATTGAAATGTTCTTATATTCCCTCCGTTCACATATATTTACTTTTTTCTAAATTAATTTTATCTTTTTATATTTATTCATATTTAATAGAATATTTTATCTTAAAATAAATATAAAGAAATTTATTTAATAGGATATTTTAAAAAAATAATAATTATATCTTAAAAGACTAAAAATATTTTACATTTTTTAAGACCTAACCTCTCAAAAAATACATTATATTTTGGAAACAGAAGGAGTATTTATTATTTATATTAACTCTATAAGAACAATGGCACACGCACATAATTTTAACATAAAAATTAAGTTAGATAATTATAAGTTTGGAAGAAATCAAACCCTTCATGCATGGTTTCTGAGGCAAAAATGTAATGTTGAAACAGAAATTAATAATACATTTTCAATAGGTTTAATTTAATAAAATAAAGTGGCTTTTTTTTTTGGGAGTGTCAAGGAATAAATTGCATTTTTTGTGATATCACTCCAACAAAGTGTAATGAAGCTGAAGTTTACAAAAATAAAATTAAGAAATAAGTTAACCCGTGATGATCAAGTTTAAATAGATTGTAATTAGTTGCTATTCTTAAAAGAGGGCTGCCAGCTGCTCTAGAATCCAATTAGGTGGAATTATGGGAACAAAGTATATAGGAATCTATGAGCTAGCTAGCTTAGTTTAGTAATCTAACAAAAATTGTCATCGTTTATGTAATAAAATAGATTAAACAATTCAACCCATCACATGCTTCATGAACTAATTCCCTCTTTTATGTTTCATAATATTTTTTGTGGGCTCCTTTCTACAACACACCATTTTGACCTACTTCTTTCATTTTATTATTATAAAATTCTAATCGACGAATGGTTCAAAGAAATTTGTTAGACTCATATATATCGATTAATTTTGTATTATGCAATTTCCTAAAGAATTATGTGAGGAAAACAATTCAAGTTTATTTGATTTGTCACATATATTTAAAAAAAATAATGAAATTATATATATATTTTTTTTTTTAAAATATCAAGTTGGAAATAAATTGTTGGGGGTCTATTTAAAAAATCATTCAATCATAAAGCATCACATTACTATGGCTAAGACCATGCTTTTAGAAAATGAAAAGTGATATGCTACCTTTTGTGGTTCAGAAGCTTTTAGAAACATCCAACGCGCAATCCTAAGCTCTATTCTTCCTCATGTTAAGTCAAACCAATTAATTTCAATTATGAGTGTGAAATCTTCACTGTCAAGTTAATTAGATTATATATACTTTTTCTATATTAAATTGGGACCTTGGATTTTTATCATCGCTCATATATATCCCCATCCTCTCCTTCTTTCCTAAGCTATATTTATATGATAAATAATTGAAACAGATTTTCATCCTCCATATAAAATAAAGTTTAAAATTTGTCTTTTTTAAGAAGAATCATATTTTAATTTAAAATTTAAAATCGTATGCCATCATGAGTTGATAGAGTTCATAATCTCTCTCTCAATATATCAATTCTTGAACACGTTTTTATACATTTTATTATCCATTAACATCATTGATCATTTATTTATATCTATCTGCTAAATACGGTATATGCAGTTTTTCAATATATATATATATATATATATAAGATCTCGTTCCCTAGCTATTACTTAATTGACTCTCTGAAATTAAATTGTTGCAGTGCAGACAAAATCCAGTAACGATCCAAAATAATAATAATAGAAGTATGGTAAAAAAGAAAACAAAAAAAATTAAAATTAAAATTAAAGAAGAAAGAGAACGAAGCACTTACATGATATTGGTCGGAGTCCAGAGGATGCTGTATCGGTGAAATTGCTTGGTCGGGTCGAACCAGAGACGATACCGTTCTTCTCGGCCTCGGTGGGTGCTGCCGTTTCCGTACAAGTTCGTCTGAAACCTCCACGGCTTCCCTCCGATATTCCCTAAGAATTCGAAGTCCAACTCGTCGTGCGTCTTCTCGAACACATCGCCGTTTGACGTCTGCACATATTTATATACATATCGTCAAAACTGTTTCAACCACCTACGATTTGTCGTTTCAATCTAACCCTGCCGCGTCCTCACTTTCATTTTTTTTCCCCCGACAATTCCCACCGCTTTCTCAGAAAAATTTCATGAATTCATAATTTCCGATATATAAAAAAACTTCGAATTTGTAATTCATGGAAATATATATACACACACAAACTCACATAAAATGCAACGCAAATGCCTGCTGTATAATCTGAAGGCAATTTGATATTGGCGCTGAAGAATCCATACTGATACATATCGGAGGAAATGAAACCCGAACCTGTTTTAGCATATAAAGAATTATTTTCATCATCTTCTTGGATATCAGTTTCTTTATTAAAAAAAAAAAGGGAGAAGAAGATGATATATGGGGGAAATAAAGGGAGGGACCTGTGAAGCGATCGAGGAGGAGGCGGACACCGTGGCCATCAGGGGAGCGGACGACGTTGGAGTCGCCGAAGAGGGGAGAGTAGGCGGCGTTGAAGGGGATGGAGGTGAGGTTGAAGGCTGCGGCGGCTATGGCGAAGGAAGACGAGAGGAAGAGAGAAAGAAGAACAAGAGATAAAAATGGAAACATGCCTCCAGTTTTGGGGGATGTGCCAAAACAACGTAAGAGAGGCATAGTAGTACTGATCTTATGTTTCTGTTTTGTTTCTCTCTCTCTCTCTTTCTCTGTTTCTCCTTCGCACCTCTTTGCTTCGTGTTTAAGTTTATATTTATACTCAGAACCCTCGAGATGATATATACGATGATCATACCAATTTCTCTGCGTACGATGTGTATATACATATATATAAGCTAATATTTGTGTGTTCGGATTCTCGGTGTTTTGATCTTATTTTATTTTTCAGTTTTTATCAACAGTAACGCTCTTGACTAATGAGTATGTTACGGGAGATATATATATATATATATATATATGTACACACACAGTATTATAACATATGTAAGTTGATTATTAATACAATGATTTTTTTTTTCGTTTTCTTTTTACCAATCATAGGTCTTTTTTCAGGATTGTTAGATTAATCAATAGTATCAGAATTAGTCTCACAGTACTTTGGGTAAAAAAAATTTAACCAACGGTGTAAGATTTATGTCAAAAACGTATAATTAGCTTGAGTGCTTGACCTGAAATAGTCGAAATTTGATATGATTTTTTATTTCATGATCGCTTGATAAAATAATAATAACAATAATAATAATACTCCTGCCATGATTATGTTTTTGGGAAAACTGTGTGATTTAACTGGCTCTTTTTGAACATCATGCTAAAACCCTCAATTTGAATATATAATTTTTTATGCCCATTTTTCTGACTCAATGTAATGTTTTTCTTCGAAAAACAATTGACCCTTAGTCACCTATTTAGAGATGTATGTGCCAGTGCATCCTGCTGTCAATATTTTTGACAGCAGAGGATCCAATTCCCACGCCCCTGAATGTGAAACCATATATCTACATTAATATTATATTTTAGATATACAATAGCGCGATAATTAAGTTGAGAATTTTGTTTAAAGAAAATTATATTAAAACTTTATATAAAAAATTAATTACTATAAAATTTATTAATAATTAAACTAAATTGTGTTGACCACACAATCAGCTATCAATATAATTTAGTTTAATTATCAATCAATTTTATAATAATTATTTTTTTTTGTATTAGAATTGGTTGCAATTTTTTCCTTTATCTAAAAAAGAAAAGCAATATGTGCCCATGGTTTGGTGATTGAAAATATATATAAAAAAATTAAAAATTACAGCGAGGGGATTGGATAATACCAACGTTTTAATAGAGTATAGGTTAAGGACAGCGAATGATAAGGATCCAGCATTAATATGGTTCAATGTCATGCTTAGGGAGGCTTCACGTCCAAGTCTCTCATTTTTCTCGAACATAATCATGCAGCATCCATAGGGCCCTCCAATAATTAATTTATCAATTCATTAATCAGTTTTTTTCCCGATTGATAGATATTCTGCTTTATTATATGAGAAAAAGTTTAGGTGCTTGTAATTTTCAACGTTGACGACTGATTTATAGTTTTCAAAATGCTTGTAATATTCTTTCCCACGTAACTTTCAAGAAATTAATGCATCACGTACTATTTACTGTTCCAGAAAAAAGAAGCCTTTAAAAATAGATATAAAATAACAAGTATCCTAAATAATTGCAAAATTTCCAATTCTTTTGAAGTTTCAATGTTATTAATTTTTTTATTCAAAACTATCACTCATTTTAAATTAAAAATATCAAAAAATCATTGAATAAAAAAAGAATATCATGCTATCACTTTATTTTTTTTTAAAAAAGAACTAATTGTAATTTTGATTCTTAAAAAACTTTAATTTGTAATATCATAATAACTATTGCAGAGGGTTTAAGAATTTTTATTTTCTCCGTAATTTAATAAGTAATAATATCCATTATCCAATACATCTATGCATGAGACAAGTAATTGGGGGCTAATTTCAATGTTAAAAGCAGAGGGAAATAGTGGTCTAAGGTGAATGGTGCAAATCCTCCTCATATATACAAGTATACTACATAAAATGCATTCCCAATACATTAAATTCACCAATTGATTTCCATATATCTATTTTTTTTAAATTCTCTGAATAATATTAGGTGCACAAATCCAGAAATTGAATAATATCATTCCGGAGGGTTTATTTGCGACTCTCTCTCTCTCTCTCTCTCTCTCTCTCTCTCTCTCTCTGAGCTCCACGTGTATTACAAAGTGGCATAACGTCTTATCCATTTAAATATTTAAAGTGACACATGTCACCACCTAAACTTTGAATCATTCTTGTTCATTTGTCATATGTCTCGAAGCCTCCACTCAATAGTTCTCGCTTCTCATAAAAAAAAGAACTATAAACTATAACATCATGACGAGTGATAATTACCAATTAACAATTATTAAATATTAAAATTAAAGTCAAAAATATTATTATCATGTCACGGAATCATCAACACAATTAAGAGACAACAAAATACAATTTCTTCTTGCGATTTATTAATCAATATTAGCAAACAATACTATATTTTGATTGATGATCGATCCACTGATTGATTTTAAACCATTAATGAATTTTTCTTTTAATGATTTTACACTGATGTATTTTTAAATTGAGTGGAAGAGATTCCAACTTTTTAAACAAATTATAACTTCAAGCTTTCTAATACTTAAATTTATATTAACATAAATGCAAGAAAAAAAAAAGGAAAAGAAAGATAATGATAGTAGTTAGAGGTTCAGTTTGTTTTATTGTTTATTAAATAATTAATTGGTTGGATATATTATGGTTGAGATACCAAGCTTGTGAGTTGAAGTAACGTAGTAACCACTTTAGTCTCTTTAAGTATGTGTGACGAGACGAATCATATCGGCGAAATTAAAATATTAAATATTTGTTTGGTATTTATTATAAATAGAATAAATGGTGGGGTTGGTTTAGAATAAGGTTGAGTGGGTAAAACATGCGGTAGTAGGTGGGTATTATTGTCCGTTCAAGTATTGAAGAGGCGTGTATTAACACGCAAGGTAACGTAGTCGAAAAGTGAAGGGTATATTCGGAATTACATGCTTACATTTTTGTAACTAACTTCTTTTTGACACCAGTGGGATGGGCACTGACAAAGTGATATTACAAATGATATAGAACCAATGACTTTTCACTTATAAAAAAACTTCCAAGCTCTTGTTCTTCGTTTGTAACCCATCTTTGGATCAGCATTAAGCCTACACAAACATAGGTTAGAGCCTGCGAAAGCTGGTTCAATAATTTTTTTTTTTCTCATTTCGTAAAATGAGAAGCAACAACTGCTTGCTTGTAATGAATTGGGGCTTTATTTGTACTCTTTATGTTTTAAGTTTTATATGAATGTATCCAATGACGGAGCCACGTTGGGACAAGGGAATGCAAATCACTTTAAAAAAAATTAAAAATAAAGTATGTAAAATTTATAACTTTGCACCCTTTATTTTAATATTTTGCCCCTTTGAACTAAATAAAAAATACTCCCTTTATCTCAAATTATAAGATACTTTTAGATAAAATTTTACATGCCAATAACCTCATTAAACACACTAGCAACCTTATCTTTTCAAAATAAAAAAATAAATTTTTATAAATATCCATCATTTAATATATTGAAAAGAGAAAAGAGGAAGGATAATATTAAAATTGATGCATTTAATGAAATCTTAATTTACTCAAAGTGTCTTATATTTTGAGACAGAGAAATTCCTTCAAAAGTGCCCTATAATTTGAGACGGAAGTAGTATTTAGGTTTAAAAACTTATTAAATATATAATATTTTAATGATTTAAATAAGATATGAAAAGCATATTTATAATAAAAGGCCATATCAACTTATTCAATATAATTTTTAAAATAAAAAATGATGATAAATTTATTTACATTATTATAATTTTAATCCTAGCATAATAATTATTATTTTTTTAAAAAAATTAATTTTTCATTAAATTACTCCACGCCCCTTGGTTCAGGGTTCTAGTTTCGCCACTGAATGTATCATTTTCCATCAGGAAAAAAGAGAGAGAATAAATGTGAGATTGATGAAGAATGGTGCTAACTAATAGGTGAAAAGTGTGGAAAGAATATGTTTTGATGATAATTTCAAGTACACCAAAAAAAATAAATGAAAGTGTGGAATGGAATGAAGCATGAAGAATAAAAGATTGAGAAAACAGAGCTAACCAAAAGCCTTTTTTCTATATATTTAGTGTGTTATTTTATTTGAGTACGTACGCGCTTGCTTGCTTGTGCTTTTGGTAGGCCAAGAAGCAAGGAAGGAACGGCTCTCTGTTTTTGTTTCCCTGAAAAAAAAAAAAAAACAATAGGGTTTCAGGTTTTTGTTAATAGATCGACAATTGAATATACAGAACATTTTGGAGGGGAATAAAAGCTCGGAAAATTATGTTTAATGGTTTAATAAATAGGAGAAAAATTATGTTAAAATATTTTTGAAACGAGGGGAAAATAGACTTTGGGTCAACTTTAGCCAAAAGTAATTCTTGAAATTTCTGTTTCGAGGGATACAATTTATTAACAACATTGATATCTTTAGATAATTACATTTTTAAAAAATTATTTACATACATTTTGTTCAATTTACATCGTTTAAAAAAAATTCCTTTATCACCGTTGGAACAATATTCATCTTCGAATCTATAGGATATCAAATCCAAATAAATATAAAAAATTCTCACAAATTGTACGATTCATGAGGCATAAGCATGTGATTAATAAATAGTACGGCTTGTTTAAATATTTATCTTATATATATAAATATATAAACTATAGTATATAACTCAAGAATTATTCATAATTTAAAAATAACAACTACATCGTGTATAACTCATAAATAATCTAATAAGATAGCGTTACCTCTATAGCAAACTATAAAACATTTTTTAAAAGAGGTTTGACAATTCAAGATATAAAATACTCTAATAAAAATAAAATTTTATTAATAATATTTTTTTAATATCATCCTTTTCATATAGTTTCTCTCCTTAATATTCTTTAATTATCAAATGGAGTATTAAAATGAATGACAATTTTAAAGTTTTCATTTTTGTTTTGAGAAAGTAAGATTGTAAAATATATTTAACAAATTTTATTGATGTATATATATATACATATATATACATATAAATACCTCATAATTTGAAATGGAGAGAGTATTACCTTTAAGCACCACATCCGGAATGTTAAAAAATAAAATAAAAATCTTATACTCACTAATAAACCATAACAGCATTAATTACTATAGAATTATTATACAACTAACTTTGATTAATTATATATACTCTCATGTTTCTATGTATAAAGTATTTTTAATCAAATAATACTTATTAAAAAAATTTGTTATTTAACTGGAAGTACATAAAAGCACAACAATTACCAGTTTTGCTCCTAGTACTATTACAATTAATATCATAGTGGTATATATGTAATAAAATATTAATATCTCCTCACATATCTAAGACAAAGGCAAAATTGTTTCATTATTAAAAAAATATCATGCCACCTCTAACATTTAAAGAAAAATTAAGTTTTTAAAAACTATTTTATGTATAAAGACATTAAAATCCAAGTCTCTGTTTTACTCTTACATCAACATTTACTCATCCTATGCTAGCAAGGATGTAGGTCTCACTCTCACCTAATTATATTCTCACATGAATTGACTTCATTTTATTTAACTTGCACATCAATTCCATGCATCTATCTCCCATCAACATTTTCCTCATGACGTGCTCGCAAAAGATGTGGAAGTAGAAATAAACATCTTCCATAACATTATAAGATATCTCTCGCTCTCCCTCTAACATCCTAGCATTTACAAACAGGAACTCATAATTAAAAATCAAATTCTCTCAAGAAAGGACATTCAAAACCACATGTATATAATAGAGAATATGATGCTTTTATACCAGAGATATTTCAACATGACTGATACTGATTTCAAATCTCAAGCACCTTTCCTGTGGCCAAAGACGTACTCATGACTTGCAGGTCCTTCGAGATGCCGTTTCAGTCATCTGAACTAGTGCTAGCTAGTGTACTGCAAGTGCAACCCGGTTCTGCAAACGACATGTAATGTGAGCTGAATTAAACTGAAGAATATACTGTCAGGGTAACTCTAAATCACAGATCATTGGCTTATTGTAATTGGAACCCAGTTTTGGGACTTGCTATTACAAACAATGGGTCTAGGAGCATGCATGTTAAGAAGAAATATGCTGATGAACTTACCCTGACGGGCTTTTATTTGTCCATTGTACAGTGAATAGGTTAGCACATTATTAAGATCAACCAACACGTTTTCATTCAACAAGGAAACGGAAAAGAATACCATATCCACCAAGAGAATGAATACTTCAGGTGAGTGGGAAGTATAATTATCGCTTGATCCTTAGGAAATACACGCCAATACAGATCAATAAGTTGTACAGGGGATGCATGACAGCTAATCAATCTCAACTTTAGAAGTTCATTATGTTTGATATAGAGTGAATTATATTAGCAATCCCAGCTTTATATCGGTCATCATTATGTGACAAATGATATAGCAAAATTCCTCAAGCTTAGGCTGGAGTATCTCAAGTGAAATTGTATTCTTTGGCCATTTTAAGAAGAAATAGATTAGGAAGCTAACATAACTGGGTTGACCATGGCCACATCAACCATGATTGTAATAACTTGTAAGACTTCAAATTTCAAAACACACAACAAGCTGCACATGCTCCAACACCACCTTTTTAAAAGCTCTCAGCACCATTGATCTATAAGTTAAATGAATGGCCACGTATGTCTGCATATACAAAGGCTTCTCCCCAACACTTTGCATCCAAAAGAAACCTCGCCAATATCAAAATTGTGTTAGAGCCAAACTTCTAAACATTTTCTATTTGAGTACCTTTATCAGACAGGCCGGCTTCAACGGAAAATTGAAGAGTAATTTAATTGTAAAATTTCATTGTGTTTAATACTTAGTTCCTCACAATACATTATTAACTCTCAATATATATATAGTAATATAAAAAATATGCAATTGTTTAAGCACTTATGTCCAAGTGTTCTTTGTTTTAATTTAAGAGGAGAGGACAGGTTGTACCCATTGAGATGCGAAGACTCATTCAATGGATATACTTATAAAACTGCATCTTGTAAGCTTGATTATATATATAAATTTTTGCCCTGCTTAATTGAATTGTTATTTCTAGACAGATATACTAATATGAATATGCTGATTAATTAGCTAGCTAGATCATCAAACTTATTATACACACGTGAAGTTTAGGACTCTTGACGCTTGCCTCTTCGAGTGTATTAGTTTTCTTGTTTATAAAAAGAATTTACTTGCAAATTCGAGTAACATTATGCAATGCGCTAGAAGTTTTCTTTCTTACATGTTCAAGTATTGAACAATGGCCTTACCTCACAAAGAAAAAAATGTGTCCTGCCAACATGGCTGCGCGGCGAGAGAACAGGGATTTCACAGCGTGTGGAAAATTGGAACGAAAAACTCACGGGACAGTGACCTCTCCCTCCCTCTGTGCGCACGCTCATCTCAAGGGTGAACACTTGGTGATTTAATTTATTATAATATATCATATTTACTAAAATAAAAATTTATAAAAATAATAAAAAAATTTTAATGAATTTTTATTTTTAATTTGATCTATATTTAATTTAGAGGGTCGAATTTAATATTAAAATTTTATAATTAATATATATTGATTATTTAAATGCATCCTGCATGGTCATGAATTGTGTACAATAAATCTGAATAATCAATATATATTAATTATAAAAATTTTAATATTAAATTGAACCCTCTAAATTAAATTTAGACCAAATTAAAAATAAAAAAATAATTAAAATTATTTTTATAATTTTTTATTTTAATAAATATAATGTATAATAATATAATGAGGAGGGAAACTCATTCCCTCTCTCCGAACATACCAGCAAACTTAAGCCAAACAGAACGCACCTCAATTCTTGATCTGATCCTCAATTCTGTGTCAACTAATTTTGTGATAGAAAAATGGAGACTATCAAGGCTCATTTGTTTTAGTTTATTAAAAAAATTACTTGTATTTTTTTTTGACAAAAGATATATTCTTCAAATTTTATGAGTGTCATTTAATTTTTTTAAAAAAGCAAAATCTCGAGAAAAATAAAATTTTAATTATTTTAAGAAATTAGTTAAAATATTTTTTAAAAATAACCTCTTACAGTAGGTGAAAGATATATTAAAAAATATAGGATCTATGAAGATATTATAAAATTTTAAAATAAGTGAATAATAAATTATTTTTATAAAATAGATAAAATTAAGGAATATATTATAAAATTTAAAAATAACTAATTAATAGTCAATTTTTTATTATTATAATTAAATATAAAATAATATCTATTTTTTATAAAATATTTACAAAATAAATTTATTTTTTATAAAATCTTTAAATGATCTAAAAATTATTTATTTTTTAATCATAAACAAATATGCCAAAAATCGAAATTAGTATTTTAAATTGCTCCACAAGAAAAATATTATCCGCGTTGCGTGGGATTCTCTTGCTGGACAAATATAGAAATAAAAAAGGATCTGATATTAACGATATTGGCCAAAAAGAAAAGAATATTAACGATATATTACCCGCAAAATTGTATTTACTATTTATCTTAAATTACATTAGACATTTTGATTTGTTTATTTTGATATATTTTTTAAAATTTTAATTTTAATTTTGAAGCATAATTCCTACTTATATATCTATTATCTATTTATCAAATCTATAATCTTGTTATCAAATCAATAAGGATAACGATAAATCGGATTGCGGCATCAGATTTGACTATAAAAGGATGGTATCATGCTCTACCCGTTAATTACTTACGAGTTACGATCTCTCAAATCCTCAGTCTCAATAGTAGAGCGAGTGATGAAGTCGATGCCTCGATGGAAAGATTGCTTCGTGTATTGATTTCAAGCCCATGTCGTTGCCCCGGAGGTTACCTCGCCGTTCTGTTTTTTCCTGCGATGCCGTTCGAAGCCGGCAAGCCTGGCACGACTTGACATAGAATCCTTTTAATTATCCAGTCACGTATAACGCAAGGTATTTCAGGTGTCGAAGCCTTTCCGAATTTGGAACTCGTAATTTATTGGTTTGTGCGGTTTTTCGCCTTACGGAGATATGATTTTTCTTTCAGGTCATCGGTTTTTGATGGCTGACAATCAGCCTCTTGATCGTGTTCTCGTACGTATCAGAGCTGTAATCGACGATTAATGCCATTATCGGAGGTGTTAGCAAGGGCAAGGGATGGATTTACAAAAATATGGCTTGTTAAATTGATAGTTGGAGGCAGAGATTGGTTTGATTTCAGAGGATCGCGAGAGAAGTTACAGTGAGGAAAGGTGTTTGTTATGATGTCATCAACGTAATTTATTGGTTGTAGGCCTTTGCCATGACGGGTGCGCTTGCATGGCAGGTCAAACACTACTTAATAAAATTTCATTTTCCGGGGGGGTGAAGGGGGAGATGCTACGGCCGGTTTTTGTTCTTTGTTTTTGCCCCGGCGGCCGGCTCTTCCCCTTGGTGGTGTGTGTGTCTCTTTTTCTTCTTTCTCCTCCTCTTTTTTTTTTTTTTCCGGCGCTTCTCTCCTCCTCGTCTGCGTACGTCTCATTATTTTCAGCGACTCGTTTCAAGTCGAAACACGAAACAATTTGCACAACTTCATAGTCGAAGCATCCAATCAGCTCCAAAACCACGCGATGTCCGAGCCTCAACATATTGGATAATGATTAATGAGAAATATGGAATAAAATCTGCAGGGATATGGGGAATGGCTAATACATAGGGGCATATGGGCCGCCAAGATAAAACTATCCAATCCCGTAAAAAGTCACACGATGCTGAACAGTTTTGTCATTTATATTTGTTGAGGTGGTACGTTTTCCATGCATCTACTGTTTTTTTTTTTTTTTGTTCCTTTTCTTTGGGGAAAACTTGTCTAGTGATTCTCGCATCCCCACTTTCAGTTGATGTAAGTTCAATGTTTATTTCCGTGTATCATTATAAAATGTAAATAATGTTGATAAATAATATATAGAAATCAATTCCTCTACCTTTGCCTCTCGTTATTCTCCCAATTACTCCTTTTTTTTTTTGATATGATACAATTGTTCTCGTTATTTCTGTCTGATTTATCTATACTGCATCAAATTCTAAAATCCAGATGGATAGCTTGGTTATGGGCAAGCCATAAGGCAATCGAAAGAGTACGGAAGAGAAGACTGTCATGCCTCAACATATGCGAGCACTATGAAAGCATTGGGTGTCATTGCTTTGTAAAGTAGATTCATTTTTTAACGTGAGTTGATATCATGAGATTCCTGCAACATGTGTTCTTCGCTATTAAAAATTAATCATTATACTGATAATAATTATAATGTAACAATTGTAACAATAATTATTTTAAAAAAATTCAGATAAAAAATGAGAGGCATGACTCATGAGACATATTATTTGTGTCTTATATTTTGTATATGTATAAGATAAAAAATTGTGAAGGTGAAAACAAGATAATAAATTATAGAATAAAATACAAACTTAAATAACAAATAATAAAATAGAACATTTTATTGCTTAATTTTTTTGGGGCAGAATTCTTAAATTTTAATTTATGTGGGAATAACCTAAATAATAAATTAATTTTTTATTTTTGAATATACACGGCAAAAAATTTATATATAATTTTTTAATATGGAATGAACATGCATCTTATTTATATTTTCAAAAATAAATATTTGCATTGATAAAAAATTCTAAAATAAAACAAGTTTAAAATTTAATTTATGTATAGATGATATAATAAATTTTAAATTATAAAATAAAATATTATTTTAAAATAACAAATTGTAAAATAGAATACGTCTTTTAAATTTTAAATAGTATATGATAACAAATTATTTAGGATTAAAATATAAATATATCCCTGAAATTTTTATTGAGACCCATTGATATTTTAAAATATTTAAAGACCTTGACGTTTTTGAAACGATACAATTTAACCGGACTAACTTGTTGATTTTTGACCGTCACTTTGACTGTTTACGTCCTCTATGTATTTTAGAAATTAAAAAAGTAAAAAAAAAAAAAAACACACACACACCACACACACACACACACACACATCACGTTCCCTATGCCCGTTTATGTTCTCTAGTTTCTTTTCTCATTCCCCGTTTGTATAACCATCACTCCAATCTTCGACGCTGTTGATGAAATGGTGGAGAGGTTCTTCTCTCCCTCTCTCTAACTTCGCTAGCAGGGGAAGAATATCAGATCTGGAGCAGCTGAAGAAGACGTGTCGTGATGGAGTTGGCTGTGGGATGGCGAGATGACGAAGCTGTGGAAGGCAAGGCAACACGACTGTAGGAGACGACGAGCATGGATTTGGAGTCAAAGAAATCAGTCATAGCGCTTTTAGTGAAGCGAAATTCGGTGAGATCGGAGAGGATAACGAAATTGGTGCTAGAGCCGAAAAGTAGATGATTGGGCCAGGCTAAAACCATATTCTAGTAACCGACCAAGCTAAAGCCATTTTCTGGGTTGACGATTATTGATTATAGATTTGAGTTGTCCACTTGCAATGAAATGGGGGTGCTTTGTTTTTGTAATCCATAATGGACAGAAGATTCCAGTAACCAGCCAAGCTAAAGCCATATTCATCAGTTCATAGACGATCAGAAGATGCAGATGGGGATGAAGCTCACAATGAGTTTCTTGCAGTTAGATTTTAACTGGTATGCATTTAGATTTTGGTGATTCTTCTTACATTCATGGGTTTGAATTTTCGTGTTATATTTACACTTGAGAATGAGGATGCCTGATCGAAGCTTTATCATTTTTTTCCCTGCAAGTCGTGAAGAAGAAGGAAAATTGGGAGAGGTATCGTATGGCTAAGAAGGAAACTAAGAGAGCTGTGGGTGAAGCTCGTTCCAAAGCTTTTGAAGAATTTATAAGAACCTTGAGACGAAGGAAGGAGAGCAAAATATTATAAGATTGCCAAGAGTAGGGAAAGAAAATCAAGAGATCTAGAACAGGTAAGGTGTATTAAGGATGAAGAGGGAAGAATTTTAGTTACAGATGATGAAATTAAAAATAGATGGGAGACTTATTTTTCTAAACTTTTCAATGATGGAGAGGATTCATCTAGTAACTTGGAGGATTTAGTAACTGGTGAAGGAGAACAAATTTGTCATTCTATCGAAAAATACGTGATAAGGAGGTAAAGGAAGCTCTTAAGAAAATGGCAAATGGTAGAGCTAACGGACCTGATTGTATATCTATCGAAGCGTGGAAATGTTTAGGTGAAGAAGGGGTGAGATGGTTAACTAAGTTATTTAATGTGATTTTACGGTCCAAGAAAATGCCTGATGAGTGGAGGAGAAGTACATTAATTCCTATTTATAAAAATAAAGGAGATATTCAGAATTGTACTAACTATAGAGGGATTAAACTCATGAGCCACACAATGAAATTGTGGGAGAAAGTAATTGAGCACAGGTTGAGATTGGAGACAAGTATTTCTGAGAATCAATTTGGTTTTATGCCAGGTAGATCAACTACAGAGGCGATTTATCTACTAAGGGGATTAATGGAAAAGTATCGTTGTAAAGATAAAGATCTACACATGGTTTTTATTGATTTGGAAAAAGCTTATGACCGTATACCAAGAGAAGTGCTTTGGAAAGCGTTGGAAAAAAAGGGAGTACGGATTGCTTATATTAAAGCCATACAAGATATGTATGAGGGGGTAAAAACTAGTATAAGAACGCCTAGTGGTCAAACAAAGGATTTTCCTATAAAGATTGGACTACATCAGGGATCATCTCTGAGTCCTTATTTGTTCAACTTGATTTTAAATGTTTTGACGGAACATATTCAAGAGGAAATCCCGAAATGTATGCTCTTTGCGGATGATATAGTTCTTATAGCAGAGACAAGAGAAGAGGTTAATTGCAAACTTGAGTTATGGAGGAGGACATTGGAGTCGAAAGGTTTTCGTCTGAGTAGAAGTAAGACGGATATTTATATTGTAAATTTGGTAAAGGACTATTCGAAAATAATTTCGAAGTGAAATTGGGAGATCAAATTATACCTCAAGTGGAAAAGTTTAGATATTTGGGAGCCATTATTCAAAATGATGGCGAAATCAGTGGAGATATTTCACATAGAATTCAAGCTGGGTGGTTTAATTGGAGAAAAGCTAAAGGAGTTATTTGTGACCGTAGGGTGCCTAATAAACTTAAAGGAAAGTTTTATCGTACTGCTATCAGACCGGCAATGTTATATAGTAGTGAATGCTGGGCTCTAACGGGACAGCAAGAGCATAAAGTTGGAGTAGCAGAGATGAGAATGTTACGATGGATGTGCGGACATACACGTAAAGATAAAATTCGAAATGAGCACATACGTGAAAAAGTGAGGGTGGCACCTATTGAGGAAAAAATGGTAGAAAATCGGTTGAGATGGTTTGGGCATGTACAAAGAAGACCAAGGGAGGCACCAGTGAGAAGAGTGGAACATATAACTTTGAGTCCGATTAAGAGAGGTAGAGGAAGGCCTAAGAGAACACTCTTGGAAGTTGTTGAACGTGATCTCTTAATTAATAATATTTCTAAAAGCTTAATAAATGATAGAGCACAATGGCGTCTTGCAATCCATGTAACCGACCCCACCTAGTGGGATAAAGGCTTGTTGTTGTTGTTGTTGTTGTTGTCGTGAAGAAGAAGAAGGGAGCAAGATACTTGATTGGTTGAGGAAAGAGATTAAGATGACGTGAGGTGTGTTTGAAAAGTCAACAGAGTGAAGAAAACAAATAAAAAAACAAGTTGGCAGCATTGTGTGGGACCCATTTGCTCTGGAGGCAAAATTGTATCACTTTAAAAATATATATTTTAAGATACCAATTACACCTGCGAACAAACTTTATGCATAGATTTGTATTTTAATCCAATTATTTATTATATTTGTTACATACATAGAGGTAAAAATATAAAATGTTTTATGTGGAGATAAGATAAATTAATTATGTGATGTTGACAAATTTATGTTTTGATGATATTTTTCAAGTTAAAAAGAAAAAAGGAAAAGCATGGAATGGAATGAAGCATGAAGAATAAAAATTTTGAAAATTACGTTTTATAAGCATTTTCTTTATTTAGTGTGTTATCATTTTGTTTAGTTACATGCGTGTGTGCTTGTGTTTTTGCCAGGCCTACAAGCAAGGAAGGACTCTTATTACTATTACTACTACTACTACTATTATTATTATTATTATTATTTTAAAAAGAAACACAACAAGACTTCAGGTTTTTTTTAAAAGAAAAATCAATTTTCAAATAAACAATTAGAAACATAAAGATCTACAAAATTTAAATTTCATGAGTCAAAACGAAAAGCATAAACAAATTGAAATAGTAAATATAATAAAAGAAAAGTATATTAGCCTGTCAAAAGATGGCTTTTTTTTTTTTAAATAAAAGACCACGGATACACTGTACTAATTGACAATATAAGAAATGTGATCAAAAGATGGCTTTACAACAACAAAAACAAACACATATAGAAGAGGCTAAACTGAAAACAAGAGGCTAATGAATTAAAAATTTTTGCTCTGTAAATGAAAACTTGTGATGAAGTAAAGCCGGCATGGTGATATTATTTTGAAGAATGGCGAGCATGATGATGTCTCGAGAGTTTCGAAAGGCAAAGTTCGAAACATTTTTCCCCCTCCAGGAGGATTTGAAATACCTTTTCATGAAGTGAATATGCAAAGGGAAAGCAGCAAGTAGTCTAGCATAGTGATGCTTATTGACAGAATGGCCAATGACCCAGCACTGCATGTTGGACCTCTAAGTGGTTGCATGTGAACTTAGAGGTCCAAGTCACAATCGTGCAATTGGACGCATTTTTTTTGGCAGAAACCTTATAGAAACCATACTAAAAAACAATGGAAGCATGGAAGCCCTTCGTTTGATGCCACGAACCAACCCATCAAGGGTGTGGCCCTCAGGTTTTTGTTCAATAGATCGACAAACGAATATATGGAACATTTTGGAGGCGTGAGCATAGAAGCTTGGAAAATTTTGTTCAAGGATTTGATAAATCGGGGAAAAATTTTGTTCCAATATTTTCAAAACGAGGGCAAATTACATTTTGGGTCAACTTTGGCCCAAATCTTAAAATTGATGTTTATGAATCCTTGAGGTTTCAAAATGTTAATCCGTTAGACCCTTAAGTTATTAACAGTGTGAAGCAAAATTCCTTCAAAACTCAATAGACCGTGTCACCACTCTCCATTGGGACAACTCATTTCTGAATCTATATATGATATATCCATATAAATATAAAAAATTCCCACAAATTATACTATTCATGAGGCATAAGCAATTAATAAATAGAACGTCATGTTAAATATTTTATCTTGTATGCACAGATAAATAAACTAGTATATACCTCAAGAATTATCCATAATTTAAGAATAACAACTATATTGTGCATCACCCAAATATAATCTAATGAGATAGTATGACCTTTCTTGTTAAGCACAAGCGCCATTAGCGCATCCGGATTGTTAAAAAATATATACACTCAGTGATTAACCACAACAGTATTAATTACCACAGAATCATTATAATTTATACAACCAACTCTGATCATATGTATCATCTTATATTCTCCTGTGAATTGAGTTATTTGGTTTTATTGGCACATCAAAATCCATGTATCTGTCTTACTCTTTACATCAACATATTACTCATCATGTGCTAGCAAGGATGTAGCTCTCATGTAACATTCTCGCATGAATTGACTTCATTTTTATTTTATTTGTACATCAAATGCATGCATCTATCTGATCTCCCATCAACAATTTCCTCATGATGAGCTAGCAAAGGATGGAGATCGAAATAAAGATCTTCCAGATCATTATTAGATATATCTCTCCCTCAATCTCTCTAAAATCATAGCACTTTACAAGCATGAACTTTTAAAATCTAACTCTCCCAAGAAAGGACGTTCAAAACCACACATGTATATAATAGGGAATATGATTGCTTTTATACCAGAGATACTTCAACATTACAGGTATTGCTTTTCAAATCTCAAGCACCTCTCCTACGGGCAAAGATATACTCATGCCTTGCAGGTCCTTCAAGATGCTGTTTCAGTCATGTGAAGTCGTGCTAGCGTACTGCAACCCGGGTCTGCTAACCGTTCCAAACATGGAATGTGAGCTGAAACTGAAGAATAAATTGTCAGCGTAACTCTAAATCACAGATCATTGGCTTATTGGACCTCATTTACGGGACTTGCTATTACAAACCATGAGTCTAAGAGCATGCATATTAAGAAGAAATGTTGAGGAACTTGCATTGAGGAGCTTTTATTATTGGTCCATTGTACAGTCAGCTAGTACGATATATGTAAGTATTTTTCCCAATATTGCAGGAGGTCGTGACAAAACCCTCTAAACATGAACATTGAATAACTCGGTGACAATCTTCATTTTATATGAGCTAGAGTTGAGCAAGTTGGTAATCACAACACATTATTATTATTATTATTTGATTGCTTACAGATATTCTCTTATTGAAATCAATCTTCTTAGAGACACGATTGGACACTAAATGTGGACACCTCTCTCTATAGGGATTTGAACCTTGGTTGGCTATGTTGTAAGAAACTAACCCCTTTCATTAGATATAATCCTTGCTTGTTTATCACGGCACATTATTAAGATTAAACAAGACAATTTCATTCAACAAGGCAATGGACAAGAATACCATATCCACTCAGAAAATGAGCACTTTAGGTGAGGGGGTAGTATATAACTTATCCCTTGATCCAGAGGAAATACACGCCAATACAACACAATAAGTTGCATAGGGGATACATTACAGTTAATCAATCTCAACCGTAGAAGTTCATTATGTCTGACATAGAGTGAATTATTAGCAATCCCAGCTTTATATCGCCAATGATTATGTAACATAAGATATAGTAATATAAAAGTACAGGTAAAATGTATTATTTGATTTCCAAAGAACTAAAAGATGCAATATATGCAAGAGATGATCAAGTGACAGAGAAACAGACACTGAGGAATTTACCTGAAGATCTGCGTAGATTTCTCAAGTAGTAAACAATAACTCAATAATTTAACACAATTAGGAAATGACCTAAAAAACAATGCAAGTAAAGATTTGCCTATTAACAGAGGAACAGACACTAAAGCAGTTACCTGGCAGATACTAAGATATCTGTAGATTCCTCAAAGCCAAGAAATGAATTGAAGACAATCAAGAAAATTGCAGCTGAAGTATATCAGACTCAAGCCTCTGCTTCAAAGTGGAAGGAGAAATTGGCAAAACAAAAAATGCACACAATAATCATTAGAAACCACGGGCAGGTAATAAAAAATGAAGAATTGTACTACTGCAATTAAAGGAATCTCTCACAAAGCAGTGACAAAGAAATTCCTCAATCTTAGGCTAGAGTATCTCAAATTCTCAAGTGGAATTGTAGCCTTCAGCCCTTTTAAGAAGCAATAGATTAGGAAGTTCACATAACTGGGTTGACCATGGACAGAGTCCCATCAACGATGATTGCAATTTGTAAGACATCAAATTTCAAAGGGAATATAGCAAGCAAGGATTGTTGGAGGAAATTAATATCAATTAAAGATCAATTGTTGTCAAAACTTAAATAGAAAACAAGTCTGAATGGATTGTTGTTAATTTAGAATGAATTGTTAAAACTCAAATGAATACTTGTTGATGAAAAACTAACCCAAATACAAGTATTTATTCAAGTTTTAATGAAAAATGATACTTGATTGATATAAATTTCCTCCAACAGTCCTTAATTGATAATTTCCCAATTTCAAAACACAAAACAAGCTGCGCATGCTCCAGGATTACCTTTTCAGAAGTTCTCAGCATCATTGTTCTATAAACGTTGCTATCAGGCCAGATGTAAATAAGTTAAATGAATGGCCATATGTGCCTGCATTATACAAAGACTGATCTACTGACTTGGAGTTTGACAATAAGACAAAAAACAATGTGAAATAGGAGTTCCAGGAGCTGGATTTTGTTTTTGGTGAATAATTGAATATGTCCTCTGCGGAGAACTGATTCTAGAACAGTATGTCAGATAAGTCACATGATGAATTCCATCAAATGTACGAATTCGTCCATGCATTCACCAACCCACCACACTAATTATATTATGAACAGGAGAATTTTGAACAAGTGCACTGAGTTAAGCAGAACAAAAACAAAACGATGAATATGTCCTGAATCTGCATATCCAATCAAATGAAGCTATACAAAGCACCCAGGTTTTCAAACAAAAAAGTTTGCCTCCCAATATCTTGTAAATGTGAAGCTCAACAATCTATCAAAAGTTTGACAGTCTCATTAAGCCAGTAAATCTGAAGGAAGTGAAGCGGGATCAAGTTCCCATGAGTCTCTCAAAAATTCAGGAGTTTCAATGCCAGAAAGTTTCCGTGCAGGAATTTGATGCGAAATTGACAGGAAACAATCTCTTTCAAGAAATCTAACAGCATGACACCCCATTTCTTGTCTCTTGAATATTGCCTTGTAACCTTTAACTTTCTCAAGATATGCCATGCTTAATCCAGTTATCTCATTATAACTCGTCAAGAATACAACGATATCATAGAAACTCTTGCTCTGAACTGCAAGGCTTCTTTCCTCTACATCAGAAGCTGCCTTATTATAAAGTGCCCACACAGACCCCTTTTTTGGATAAATTCTGTAAACTTCACGAGCTGCCCGTTCGCAATCTACAACATGGGAAAAGATATTTACAGAATTTATGGAAGTCTTCCTCGCAACTTTAAATCTCCCACAAGATATACGAAATCCCCTTTCCTCCCAACTAATCATCTTTCCATCCCCGCTGCTTTGTAGATCCAGCCAACTTATTCTTACTTCAAAAGGAATTACGGAAACGACTTCATCAATCAGAGCATAATTCCTTGGCATTCCATCATCATCGTCATAAACAGCCCACACCTGACCTTTCTTAAAGCTTCTCTCTACTCTATCTTTATCAAAATCATAAAAATCTGAATCCACTACTGCCATATTTTCCATATCACCACTGCTAGAGTTACTGTGCTCGACAATTTTCAATTCTTTACTCTTAGCAAGAGATGCTTGCTTCTCCTCAACTAGTAGGTTCCTGATCTTCAAACTTTTCAGTTTGACAGTCAACGAACCCCTGGAACTTTTTAAAGCCTTTTGTAATTCCTCCTGCTCGTTCCTCTTCTGTGTTTTATCCCCCTCCTTTTCCTTTGGCTTCAATATCATCTGCCTCTTCTGCTGAGCCTTTTTCTTGATTTCAGACTGCATTTCTGCTAATGTCATCGTTTCCTCGCGAGTTCTGATTTTCTTTGGTTTAGACCTTTCCAACACATCCCCAACAGTGCTCATTCTCCTCTTCAAGCCTCTACTTCTCAGTCTTCCCCTACTCCATTTGCCAACAGCTCCTTCACTCTCTAATTCCCCATTTCTCACTTCAACGCCTCCAACTTTATCCTTTAATCTACCACTCTTGCTGGTCACAGGTTCAGCCTCTTCTCCGCCCACTTTCCTCTTCACGGTTCGTGATTTGCCAATAGTACCAAATTTCCTCCTCAAGCTCGGAACTCTCAACCTAATACTTCTATTCCGAACCCTCACCCCCCCGTCCTCCTCCTCAGACTCGTTTCCATTCTCAACTTCCACGGCTTTGAAACTCTTTTTACAACTAGGGCACACCAAATTATGGTTCACGTACTTCCTCTCGAACTGATGCAGAAGCCGACAAGTGCAGCAAGCTGTCCAGAAGGTCTCCACCGGCTGCTTCGAACCCTCTGTCGCCTCATCCTGAATCCGAATCCTCAACTTCATATCGTACTCCTTCCTCCGAATTCTATCAGAAAGAAATCGAAACGCCTCGCTAACAAGCTTGAACGCCTCCTCGGAAGCCGCATGGGGATTCTTGTCCGGGTGAAGAATCAAAGCCAGCTTCTTGTACTGCTTCCGAATGACGTTGGAGTGAGCAAAGGGCTCGACCTGGAGTATCTTGTACCAGTCAGGAGTGGGCGATTTGGAGGCCACGCTGAGTATGTCTAAAGATGTAACCAATTCGGAGATACCATCGAGGTCAGGAACAAGGCGTTGGGCTCGCTTGGCATATTTCAAAGCTGAGCCGAGGTTAGAGCTTTTGTATTTGGATTCGGCGATGGCTTTGAGACGGAGAGCTTCTTCTTGCTCTGCTTCTCCCTCCATCGTTCGCGAGCAGAGCAAAGCGTGCGAAGCGAAGCAGAAAGAAGAGCGAATGAAACAAGGGGTATTTTCGATTTCAATACGGCGTCCGTTCAAACTTCAAACTTTTTCCGGGTCCTGGCTTCACTGATATAAGATCTTAGTTGATGGTCTATCCACAGAAAAATAAGATCTTGATTGAGGGAAAATTTAAAAAATGTAATTAGAGGGTGTGTTTCAATGGACAAAACTTGATTAACAAAGAGCGATGTGATTGAATAATATTTTTTAAAATTAATTTTAATAATTAATTTTTTTAATAATTTTCAAAATTAATTATAAAGATGGGGAGATGAAAATGTTTAAACATGGATAATTGATTTTTAGATAAAGAAAAAAAATTAACTTATACTAAATGAAATTTCAAAAGACAAATAGAGTTTGGAAAAATTGAGAGTGTTCAAATAAAATTTCTCAAAATTATAATTTTATGCCCATAATTGATTCTATTCTAAATAGGTCACAAAAGTTTATAAATTCAAAAGTTTAGTTGAATATATTAAATTTAATTCATCCATATATTTGGTATAATTGAAATGACATTGTACTGCTTTTAAAAATTAAATTTGAAGGGTGACATTCTTCTAGAATAAGGTTAGAATATCAATTACATCTATAAAAAAATTTTAAAATAAATTTATTCTTTAACCTTGTATATAATATTACAGTGGAAGCCACTTAATCACTCAACTAAAAGTGTTGCTTATTTCCACTTTCCAGGAAGAGAGAACAGGTTATTCACATTGAATGAATATAATACTCCCAAGATCATCTTGTAAGTTTGACTACATAAAATTTTGCCCTATTTAATTGAATTGTTACCTTCAAACAAATATACCACTTGTTAGATGATCAAACTTATCATTTACGTGTGAAGTTTAGGTTTCTTGGCACTTCCCTCCCTTGAATGCACTAGTTTTTTTGTTTTTTCAGGCTAAGTATTAGTTTTCTTTTCTAGAGAAGAAATTACTTGGAAATTTTGAGTATTCTTTCTTACATGTTTTTTTTTTTTGGGGGGGGGGGATGGGGGAACCTTCGAATTCTCTCTCACATGCCTTAAAACAGTGGGCTTGCGTTTAAAAGACAAGAGGAAAAATATGGAACTTAACCGGGGGGAAAAAAAAACATGGCTGCGCGAGTGCGCGGGGAGAGAATAGGGATTTCACTACGTGTGGAAATTTGGAATGAAAAACTCACTGGACAGTGACCCCGTACGACGACCTGTGTGTTCTTCTCTGCGAACATCCCAGCAAACTTGAACCAAATAGAACGCACCTCAATTTTTGATCTGACTCTCAGTTCTTTATCAACGATTTCTGTGATAGGAAAATGGAGAATATCTTCTATATTTAGTTAAATAAATTTCTCGATTGACAAATTAATTATCTTCCATTTTTCTTTCAAGTCTCAATCTCAAGTTTTGCTCCTTTTGCTTCCTCTCACTACCCTGCAGAATCAGATTCTGCTTCTGTTTCGCGGAATCCCAATTTCTTAGCGGTAATTACAGTTATTTTCCTTCCTCGAATTGAATTATTTATATTTACTGTTTTGTGTATTAATTTCACTCTGTATTGTTAGTTTCACCTAGTTTTGTTTAGGGTCTGCAGTCACCACCTAGTTTGAATTGGTACAGAATACTGCGCTACTCTTATCGTAGGGGTGAACAGAACTTTTCCGTAATGTGCTAGCTTGGTAGCGTAGGTAGCTAGAGAAACTGGATCTTAGATAATTTGCATCATTAAGGACTGAGAAAGGGTGTAATCCGTTGGTTCTTTTGCTCTCAATAGATCCTTCGTTCAACATCAAGGTCATGGCTCTTTTGTAGAGTAATTGAAGATAAAAGCATGCGCTTGAAGTGTTTTGTCTGACGGGCTTAATTTTTCAACTGTGGAACTTAGTTTCGCCGGAGATGAATGCCTCTCTTGCTTCTTTGTAACTGAAGTCAATTAATGGTGCAGGATGGTTTGGTGCAAAATTTTGTAAGGTACTGGTATTAAAGTATGGTTGGCAGCAAGGCGGATAAAACCTCAAATGACAAGGAACCCAAGACTCCTGCTACGTCACAGGTCTAACCAGGTTTCTTTTATTTTATCTATAATCCTGGCGGTGGTTTATAGTTCTTTCTTCGTGACACCAAAAATTTTGTTCAGGAGCAGGCTTCGACCACCAGCACTGGAGCAATAAATCCTGACTGGTCTAGCTTTCAGGTTTATAATTAAAAGCTTTTGTTGGCATATCTTGTTTCGATCATGCTTGACTTCTCCGCACTGCTTTATTTTGCAGACTTATTCTCCTATACCTCCGCATGGATACTTGGCATCAAGCCCGCAAGCCCATCCATATATGTGGGGCGTTCAGGTATTTATCACAGAAATCATGATTGATCAATTTCATTTGCAAGATAACGTACTATACGCTGTGTCTCAGGCTCTGAGATGAACTGTAGACTTCTAGAGCACTTTTAGCTACTTGTAATGTTATTATTAATATCATTGCTTCTGCTCTTATGATAGTTAGGATTGCTGTAATTGCTCACCGATGGTCAAACATAAAACCTAAGTGGACCAAACCACTCGTTATTGCTTACTCAAGTGGTAACCGATGGCTAAATGGTTTAAGGATTATATATTAATTTTCACGCGTTTTCCCCCAATAAATGGTAAATGGTAACCGGTGTCTGAGTGGTTTAAGAAAATTACCTAATGTGTTTTATGTTGGAGCATTTCTTGTGAAAATGATTTAATATACCTGGCTTCCTTTTTTTTCTTTCAAATTTTTGTATCCTTGATGATCTCTTTGTATTTCCATTTGAATTCAAGGTTCCTGGTACTTCTTTCTTCTTTCAAATACATACATACATACATATATATATATATATATACAATTTTTCACAGGTCTTTTAGATTATACCCCAACATATGCAGGCTTCCCCCCCTCAAAAAACTATTCATACTTTAAATAATTGACCTTCAAGCTGATTAATTTTCAGTTTTGTAGGATTTATATGCTGGGGCTTCATCTTTTCCTGAACTTTTCTCTATATTTTTAATCACCCTTGCATCTAGTCCTTAGATCTGAATTTTTTACTTTACAAAGTTCTGGGATATCTTAAATTTTTCATTCTTATAGGATTGTTAAAGAAAGACTTGTTGGTAACCTTGTTTTCATACGAACAAGGCTGTTCCTCTATTTATGAAATTTGCTTGCATAGCATGTTGACAGTGGCCATATATTTTCATACATGTGTCATGAACTAGTGGATACCTCTCATTAATAATACTTAAAAATATGTGTGGTAATTTCTCCGTCATTGTCCTTGGTTCATTGGTTTGATTCTTTCTTGCAGCATATTATGCCTGCCTATGGTACTCCACCACATCCTTATGTTGCAATGTATCCCCCTGGTGGCATATACGCACATCCGTCAATGCCTCCGGTAATTTGTAAATCATGCTTTCTTGTAGTCAATAATTATAATCTCTAATTCAGTCATCATTATTTGACAATTGCCATGAATTTGTACAGGGATCTTATCCTTTTAGTCCTTTTGCCATGCCTACTTCTAATGGTATTGCTGAGGCTTCAGTGAGTTCTTTGCTCCTGCACTCTCCCCTTTCTCTTGTTTTCCTTTTTCTGTACAGGTCCTGCCCTTGTACAAGGAAGGCACAATTAACGTGGGAGTTTAAATTCAGGGAAACACACCTGGCAGCATAGAAGGTGATGGTAAGCCTCCTGAGGTGAAGGAAAAATTGCCGATAAAAAGATCAAAAGGAAGTTTGGGCAGTTTGAATATGATCACAGGGAAGAATAATGAACTTAGTAAAAACCCAGGGACGTCTGCTAATGGAATTCATTCAAAAAGGTATAATGTCGTGTGGTGATCAATCGGGTTGTCAAATTATGCCTCATTTATCTTTTTTTTCCTCTAGTGACTGACTTTTAAACTACTTTCTTTTAGTTTTGTCATTGCTTGTGATCACGTATATGTATATAAGATAGTTGGGAATAAAACCAATAATTACTCCCTGAAATTTCTGAGCTCCATCATTTTATTCCCCCTTTAACGTTTAAGCTGATTGTGTCCTCATTGTGGGTTATGAAAGGGTAGGGACTCTTTCTTTTAGGATTTTATTTGATATAATTTGGATTACAATAATAGAATTTACCTTTGTATGCCTGAAAGCACAGTTATCTTTTTTGTTCTTTTTATCAATCTGTTGGAAATATTGTCCTGTTGACAATAGGAAACTTATTAGTAAGGCTACCAGTGGATTGTTTTCTGAACCCATGGAGTGCATTGGCTTGCCATTTGCAATTGCATACTGAATGCTTTTGCTGATTGTCAAACTTGGATTTGCAGTGGTGAGAGTGCAAGCGAAGATACAAGTGAAGGAAGCGGAGCAAATTCTCAGGATGTAAGTGTGTTTCCTCCTGTCTATATTTTACTATATGGTTAACATATGTTGACGATGAAACTGATTTTTCAACAATTATAAGCTTGAAGTATGATATGTATAAGAAACAGTGAAAAAAAACTGGAGCTTATTTTTTCTTGTGTTTTCATCTCGCAATATTTGTTTAGAGTGATATAAGGATGAAGACTCAAATGAATGATAACTCTTAATATAATGCCTAAATTTAATTTTGGAGGATTGCTATACTGGCAGCTATAGTTAGGCTATATATAGTTCTAAAAATAACCATGATTTACTTGATGTGAATAAATATTTAATACCATGGTTGTACAACTCTGAATGATTGCATGTTCATGTGTAGCATTATTATAGTTTGAAGTAATGTGGACTTCCTGGCAATCATATCCTGGGACAATTTAGGTTGACTTCTAGGAGTTTTTTATTGCGTGCTTGAAAAGAGGGGCAATTTAAATGCTTCATTAGTGTTTTTTTCTCTTCAACTGCCAGGAAATTATCATAGTTATTGTAATTTTTGTAGGACTCTGAGTTGAAATCAGGGGGCAGGCAGAATTCTTTGGAAGGTCTGACATGGCTACGTTTTCTGAATTTGTTTCTATAAATGTATTGCAATTTGTGAACCCATAAGTTTGCAACTTACAGCTGAAGTTCACCTTTTTTGCTGAATTACAGCTGAACCACCTCAAAATGGAAGTTCAGTGCACCCTCCTCAAAATGGGGGAGTTAATACTCATCACGGGGTGGTTAATCAAGTTATGCCTATCTCTGCTGCTGGCGCTCCTGTAGCCGTCCCTGGTCCCACAACAAACCTAAATATTGGAATGGATTATTGGGGAGCACCAACTTCTTCTGCAGTTCCTGTGCTGCATGGAAAGGTTCCTTCTAATGCAGTTGCTGGGGGAATGGTTGCTGCTGGATCACGGGATGGTGTTCAGTCACAACATTGGCTTCAGGTTAATCTGACAACAGACATGATGATGGCTATTTCCTTGTTGAAGCATCATGACTATTCACTGAACTGGATTGTGTTTATAAAGTTTAATGGGTTTCCTTTCTAATAGGAGCTGAAATATTCGGATCCATTGACCACTGCTTAAGAATTGGCACTGTTAAACCATCTGATAACTCTTTATAGCTATTGATTGATTGCCAAAAATTTAGAGAAGTTAAATAATTGCCAGCAAGTGGTTGTATGGTCAATATGTTCTTGTTTGAAACCATGTTATGCATTAATTCTAAGATCTGTTGTGGGGTAAAACGGTCTATAGGATGAGGAGTCTTGTGAGAATAATATGCATGGAGAAAACTTTAAGTTTAAGGGTATTTATTGGTGTAAGATTGATTTTGATTTACAACAGTATTAATGGATCATGATCCAGAGTGCCTAAACATAAATATAGTTTTGGCTATCGTCTGACAAATTGTGAAGTTAACAACACTTCTGCACTGGTCGTGAAACTTGGGAAAGCTAAGGGGTAAAAATTCATACCATGCTGGAAGTTTGAAAATTTGAATCGCTTCATTTTGAAACCAACCAACATCAACATCTATCAATATAAATTATAGGAAAAATATAACTTCAGATACCGCACTTTGGTCGCATTTTATTATAGGTCCATGCACTATTTTTTCAATGTTCTAGACCCCTGCACTTTGTTTTTTGGTGTTCTAGAGATGTTCTAGATCCCTCTAGAACACCAAAAAAAAGTATAAGACCTAGAACACTGAAAAAAAGTGTAGAAACCGATAACAAAATGCGAACAAAGTGTAGGGATTCAAAGTTATGTTTTTCTTAAACTATAAAATCTATGGGAAGGTACACCATTCATAAGCCATAAACAATGTAACTCACCCTGCAATCTTGGAGTCTATGCAACATTTAGGAAAACTAGTTTAGCTTTATTAATATCTTTTTGGGAAAATTAATCATTCGGTCTCTATAGTTTTAACTCAATGTAATTTAGTTCCTATAATTTTAACTTGGCTGAAGTTTAGTCCCTCAACTTTACCCTTTGCAATTCAATTCTGATAATTTTAGCAATTTAAAACATTAGTCCTTAAGTTTCAAGAAATAACTATAGTCCTTATAATTTAATTTTCTAAAATATAGGAGACAATATTTTAAATGGTTAAAATTATAAAGACTAAGTTACACTGAGTGAAAAGTTCAAGTATTGAGTTTCAATGAGTCAAAAGTATAGGGATTGAGTTGTTTCAAGTTAAAATTTAGGAACTGAGTTTTAACCAAGTGAAAACTATGAGAACCAAATAATTATATTTCCATATCTTTTTTTAAAAGATGAATAAAGTGAAGATTATTGAAATGAAAGATGTTCAAGTTCTAGATTCCCCCCAAAACAAGATCAACCTTGAATTCCTAAACTGGCTGTTCATAGAATATGAAGATTAATATGACAATTTATTTCATAGCCTAAAATAATAGAGCCTGATAGTGATATGATAGTTATCCAAAGAAGACTACTAAACCTTGAATCATATTCTGGACATGTAGTTTGGCTAAACTCTACGATGAACGGATCTGTCTTGTGATCACCTTTCTAACTGTAAGGATAACTTAAAGATGTTTGTTATCTTTCGCTTATGAACATGCCCCTTTGTCTCATGAAGCTTTTTTTTTTTTCTTACCACAAATTTTCTACATCACTGTGACACCTCTAGAAAGTATGCTTTTGTAACATAGTAGGAATTAATTATTTGCAAACTATTTTATCTTCTGGCACGTTCAATCACCTGATCCTTTGCAGGGTACCGCAGATACCTCATTTAATGTGAACTTTGCTTTGTCATTCTATCATGGCCCATTTTTCAGCATGAATGGACGTAGTATTAGTAGTCAAATTAATTGCTAAATTTTATCCAAAATTGTATTGGTTTTCACATGTTGGATCAAGGAGATGGCGTGAGAAGTCACAGGTGGAATGGTGATGTACTGTAGACCTATAGTAGTGTGGCCTCGTTAGTAGCATGTGGTGTATTGATCTTAGAATCTTAAAGTTCCTGAGAGTTTATTGTGCAATGAATTTATGAGAACTTTTTTACTTGAAATCTTGTTCATTCTTTGAGGAACTTCCTTTTAGGGTTTACTGAGTTTTGAGTTGTTGAAATTGAACACTTTAGGTTTGAAGAATGAAGAGAAAATAAGAGAGATTTGGAAAAAGTAGTCCGTGTCTGTATTGGCCTATTGTCTATCCTATTTATAATTACATATACAAGGCAAAGAATTAATGAGTAATAATTACATTCTTATCCTCCTAGTCATAATCTATTCAGCCTTAATCTCATACAATAAATACAATATCTATTCTAATTCTCAACAAGGTTTGACCTTTGGGCTGTTATGATTTTGCATACTTTGTTGCAGATAGGTGGGCTGCACCTCAAACTTTTCACAATGGGAGGAAATAAGATGAATTTAGACATTTTCCTTTTGGAAAGATCAGAATTTCTTGCTAACTGCAAAGTTATGTTCTTGTTATTGGGTGGTGGCAGTGCCTTCTTTCTTAGTAGAATGGTTGTGTCGCACTTACCCAATTGGCGCATCTTCTCTGAGCTATTTCGGATCCCCCCCCCCCCAAATAGCTTGGGTGGTGGCTTCTTCTTGTTGTTGTTGCTCTTGTCATTCATGATGTTCCCGATTATTTCCTTGGCCAACATGGTCTTGATTAGAATAACTGAATTTTTCTTGGTATCTTTCTATGTCACTTTTCTGCTGCTTTTGCTTTTTTATGTAGAGCGTTAAGTGATAATGTGGAGTTTTAGGGTTGACTACCTGTTGCCTCTTTCGAAGCTTTTATCTTGGGACATAACTTGGTTCTTTTTTGAGTTGTTTTTTGACTTGCAATATTGCTTTTAATAGTGTGACTGATCTGGCTTATAAGGTTTACATATGCATTATCAGTTCCTTTACAGCTCTTTAATAGTATTTCATTTTTCCGCCTTGACTTGTAGGATGAACGAGAGCTTAAAAGACAAAGACGGAAGCAGTCTAATAGAGAATCTGCTCGCAGATCCAGGTTGCGCAAGCAGGTCATTTCAGAGCATTCTAGAAGTCATCCTACTCATGATTGCACGATTACACTTTTCCTGTCTGTAATTCTCCTCTGTGCTTTCTGTTTTCAGGCTGAGTGCGATGAACTAGCACAACGTGCTGAGGCCTTGAAAGAAGAAAATGATTCTCTCCGGTCGGAAGTGAGTCGAATTAAGAGTGAGTACGAGCAGTTGCTCTCAGAGAATGCTGCACTGAAGGTGATTTTGAAAACTTAATATGGTTTGACATTTGTTGATGGTTTTCTGCCTGCACCAAGTGGCAACCAACAAAGGATAGGATGATGCTTGGACGATGATCCAGTTATTATGACCTGAACAAATTTTTGCATAATCTGAAGTCTGAATGTTTTCGCTCTCATAATTTTATAAGATAGCAATAATGATGATTTGATTCTACAGGAGAGACTGGGCGAACTTCCTGAGAAAGAAGATTTTAGGTCCGGCCAGAATGATGAAAATGTTAGTAACGAAGCTCAACAGACTGGGCAGGAGGAAGGCTGTGAAGGGTGATCAGTAGAATTTAGCTACATGCTGATTGTGGCCCAGGAATATAAACTAACCTTGTAACATCGGCAAGTTCTTGTTTTAGATAGCTTGTATATCAAATTTGATTTTAGAGCTGACCATCAATATTAAGTCTCAGTGTATCTGCAGTTCCTGTTGTAACATTCCCCATTTCTCATTTGGCTTGTTTGACAGTCAAGCAAAGCTGGATTGTATTGTATTTATCTTTGTCAAAATATATTCCATGCCATCTTAATGCATTTGGTGCTCATCATTCAATTGAACCGTTCGGATTAAAAGTAGGCGGTCTAGATTTAAGTTTATTTTTTTACATTTTTTATTTTCATAGGAATATAATTTAAAATAATGATCTTTTTAATTATGCTTTTATTAAACATAATTTTGTTATTAAAAATGAAAAATTTAAAACTTTTAATACATATCTTTTAAATTAGATTTAGATGGTTTAGATTTTATCTCGCCCCAGCAAATCCGGACCCTTCAATAGAGCCTAATTGGCCAATTCATTCTTCAGCAGAGAAGATCACTTAACACTTGTCCACAAAAATTCGTGAATACAGTAGCACAAAGGAGCGTATCGGTGAAATATCAGAAAAACAAACATGCACAGGCTAGCGTTGGTGGAGACAGAGCCTAAAAACAAAATGGGACCTGAGAGGCTGAGGCTGTTGGTTCAAGTACTTAAGATATGATACACAGTGCCTTTTTCCCTTTTTTTTTTAAGTAAAATTTGATAATATCAATATTACAAAACTTATAGAAAATAATTGTGTTGCTTATTTTTAAATTTTGCATAATCTATAAAAAACTTAATTTATCTCTAACAAACAAAAGGGATTTTTTTGGTGTCAAATCAAAGGAAATTTTATTAGGGAGAATGACACTTGAGCTTCTTGAAAGAACATTAATATAAAATAAACCTTCAAATTATAAATATTAAAATTTGAGTTATAAATTCTGAAATTTCACTGTTAAACAAGTTCTAATTTTTAACTAATATTCTCTCATGTCCTTTTTTGTCATTCTCCCATCTTATCACTTCATAGTCGTTTTTACCCTGCCTCATACCTCCTAGTTCTATAACATAAACACACGCAGAATATAATAATATTAATAATAATGTTATGTAATGAAATATAATACCTCTCTCATCTTAAATTATAAGGTATTTTTTAAAAAAATTGACATTCTAAAATATAAAATATTTTTTAAAAAATAAAATTTTATTAATGATAATTTTTTAATATTACTCTTTTTATATATTCACTTTCTTCAATATTTTTTTATTGATGGAGTATTAAATAAAAAATATTTTTAAAAATTCATATTTTTATCTTAAAAAATAAGATTGTAAAATATATTTAATGAGTTTTATTGTTATGTAAAATTTTATATAAAATATTTTATAATTTAAAACGAAAATTATAATATATAATGTAATATGATATAGACCCCATATGGAAACATTTTTTTTTTCCTCCCAACATCCACATATCCATAAATGCACACTGTCACCCCGATCTATTTATTAACGAAAGGCGCGTTGGTAATTTGCGGGCCCTTGTAGTGGTGGGAAACGGGGATTTCACTGGGGATGAAATAGGAAATTAGGAACCAAAACTAACCGGACCGTGACGCCCTGCGGCGACCGGTGCGTTCCTCTTCGTTAACGTCCGAATTACTTAAACCCAGACAGAAAAAAAAAGCCCTGATTCTTGATCTGACACAGCTGTGTTACCTTATAAACTAGTTCTGTCATACCGAAGGAAGATTATTTTCTTTCTATTTTTCATCTGAAGTTTTGCTCTTTTCACTTGGTTTCATTACTCCACGGCGCCCAGATTTTGATTCTGCTTCGAAGAACCCCAACTTCTGAGTGGTGATTAAAGTAGTTTTTCTCTCTTGAATTGAATTATTTATATTGCTATTATGAATTTCACTCAGTATTGTTACTATAACCTAGTTTGTTTAGGTCTGGCTGGGTTCTCCTGGGCTAAGTTGACACGGATTACTGAACTGCTTTTATTGTGGAGGCGAACAATTTGTTTGTTTAAGATGGCTATATAGATTGGCTCTAGGATAACTTGCATCCTTATTGAGCAATTCAGGGCAGAAGCATCAAGCATGTGCTTTAAGTTTTTTGTCTAACGGGCTTAACTTCTCAATGTGGAACGTAGTCTGACTGGATACCGATGCCTCTTGAGCTTTCTTGTAACTGACGTCAAGTTTATGGCGCAGGATGGTTTAGTGCAAAATTTTGTTAGTTGCTGGTATTAAAGCATGGGTGGCAGTGAGATGAATAGAAGTTCCGAAGAGAAGGATCCTAAGACACTTCCTGCTACGTCACAGGTCCAGCCAGGTTTCTCTTATTTTATCTGTTACGGCATTGGTGATTTACCTGGTCTTTCTATGTGACCAAAAAATTTTGTTTATCCAGGAGCAGCCTCCGACCACCAGCGCTGGAACAGTAAATCCTGACTGGTCTAGCTTTCAGGTTTATAACTAAAAGCTTTTGTTGGCGTTTCTTGTCTTCATAATGCTTGATTTCTTCTCATGGCTTCATTTTACAGGCATATTCTCCTATACCTCCACATGGATATGTGGCATCAAGTCCCCACCCCCCTCCATATGTGTGGGGTGTCCAGGTATTTGTCGCACCCATCCTTGTGGCGTAAGTAATTTAGATTTTGATCATATATTGTTGAAGGGTCCTTTTGGCTCTTAATGTCATCCTTTTTTATGTTATGTATTTGCAAGTATACCTCTTTTTACTAATTACTTCAGAATATCTGGGATGGATTTTCAATAATTTTTTCTTGGCTCATTGATTAAATTCTTATTGCAGCATATCATGCCTCCCTATGGTACTCCACCACATCCCTATGTTGCAATGTATCCCCCAGGTGGAATATATGCTCATCCATCAATGCCTCCGGTATCATTTTGTGAATTATGCTTTCTTGAAGTTATTTTAAGGAATTATAATATCTAATTCAGAAAATGTTACATTTGACAATTGCCATGAATTTGTACAGGGATCTTATCCTTTTAGTCCATTTGCCATGCCTGCTTCTAATGGTATTGCCGAGGCTGTGAGTTTTTTCTCCTGCATTCTCTCCCTTCTTCCCTCTTTCTCTCCTGTCTCTGCCTCTCTTGTTTTCCTCTTCTGCGCAGGACCTGTTTTTGTTTTAAGCAAGGGAAATTTGACCTGAGTTTAAATGCAGGGAAATATACCTGCCAGCATGGGAGGTGGCGCTAAGACTCCTGAGATGAAGGAAAAATTGCCAATAAAAAGATCAAAGGGAAGTTTGAGCGGTTTGAATATGGTCACTGGGAAGAATAATGAACCTAGTAAAACACCAGGGATGTCTACTAATGGAATTCATCCAAAAAGGTACAGTGTTATGTGGTAATCAATCCAGTTGTTGAATTTTGCCTATAACTGGGTACAATAGCCATCCATCCGTGAAATAATGTCACTCTTGGAGATTTTTTTAAAATTAATTTTCCCTCCATCACTATTGTTTCTCATTTACCCTTCCATTTGTTTAAAAGAGAAGTTGGGGTAATAATTTGACTAACTCTACTATAGAGCTTGTTATATTGTGACATCCAGACGAGTGAATTTCTGATTTATGAATTGGGTCAGTGACCATTTGTTTGGTATCTGTATTATTTGATGAAACTTGCATCCAGATGCTTAAGTGTGATATAAACAGTACTCTAAAATTGCATCCAGATTTGTCTGTTCAAACTTCAAAGTAGCTTCCTGCATAGTGCAGGCCACCTTTATGAGCAATTTGCATTTATTCTTCAAGCCCAGTGTTCTCTAAACTGTGGCGTCAAAGAACTGAGTTCTGACTTCTGAACTAGTGTATGATTGATCTGCTTTCAAATTGTCATGTGATTACTTGTGTCAGGTTTGTGGGTGTAAGATAGTTGGGCATAAAATCAACAATAACTTCCTACAGTTTCTAATTTCTATCATTTATAACCCCTTCAAAATTTATCAGATTGACTGAACAATAGTATCGCAGGTTATGAAATGGTAGGGATTTTTTTTTTTTTAAATTTCAGTTGGCTTTATTATATAATTTGGATTGTATGAATAAAATTTGCCATCAGATTCCTGAGAATTTTCTTATTTGTTCTTTTTACCTATCATCTTGAAATGTCAACAGTAGGAAATTAATTGGTGATGTTATAAGTGGATTGTTTCCTTAGCCTGCCTTTTGCGTTGGCTTGCCATTTGCCATTGCATATTAGATATGTTTGCTGAGAGGCCAACTTGGATCTGCAGTGGGGAGAGTGCAAGTGAATATACCAGTGAAGGAAGTGATGCAGATTCTCAGGATGTAAGTGCTTTATCAGTTGTTTATTTGCTACCACATGGTTAATATATGTTGATAGACTTTTTTCAGTTATTATAAACTGGGAAGAGTATGAGATATATAATAGTGAAATAAACTCTGCAGCATATTTTCTTGTGTTTTTAATGGGTAATTAAGGATGATAAGGAATCCTATCCCAAAAGCTAGTTGTTGAGGTGGCCGTGGGAGCACCAACCCATTTGAATATCGCTTTGAGCATCACACACTCCTCAATGTGGGTCGTTGTATCCCATACTACCAAGTTGTCATCAATTCATGGAAAGCTAATATTCGGCAATTGCACTCCATAACACTTAACTCGGCCTTCTGCCAATCAAAACCTTCTGTTGGTAACCCTCTCTAGAGCTGCCGACTACCTTTCTTTGATATCAATTGGTGCACACCTGAGTGGGACGAGGAACCTACTTCAAAAGTTAGTTGTTGAGGTGGGTGAAACAACATAATTAAATACCCCATTGAGCATCTCATACTATTCAATGCGGGATTTAATATCCCATATGACCAAGTCATCATCAGTTTTTGCTAGCAATATTGTTGAGTGATTTAGGAATGAAGACCCAAATGAATGGTTGACTTTGATTGCCTAAAGGTGATTTTGTAGGGTTGCTATCCTGACAGCAACAGTAGGCTTTGCGTAGTTCTGAAGAGAACTGCTGTTCATTTAAGGTAAATAATATTTTAATGGCTTAAAGTTACAATTTGGGAAAATCATATGTTCATGTGCAACACTATGGTAGTTTGAAGCAAGCAGTGTCGGCGTGCACTGCAATCTAATCTGAAGACAATTTAGATTGATTCTTGGGAAAGGTTTCTATTGTGTTCTAGATATAGAGGGGACATTTTAAATAATTTATTAGTGTTTTTGCTCTTCAGTTTCCAGGAAACTATCATAAGTATTGTGATTTTTGTAGGACCCTGAGTTCAAATCGGGGGGAAGACTGGATTCTTTGGAAGGTCAGGCATGGTTATGTTTTTAGTAGTTTCTATAATTGTGTTGGCGTGTTGCAATTTGTGAGCCCATAAAGTGTGTTTGTTATGGCTGAAGTTCACCCTTTTTGCTGAATGCAGTGTATGCCCCTCAAAATGGGGGAGTTAATGCGCATCATAGAGGGGTTAATCAACCTATACCTATCTCTATTGCTGGTGCTCCTGGAGCAGTTCCTGGTCCCACGGCAAACTTCAATATAGGAATGGATTATTGGGGAGCAGCAACTTCTGCGACTATTCCTTTGCAACATGGAAAGGTTCCCTCTACTGCAGTTGCTGAGGGGATGGTTACTGCTGCATCCCAGGATGTGTTCAGTCACAGCCTTGGCTACAGGTTAGTTTGACAACAGACATGATTATGGTTATTTCCTTGTTAAATTATCATGGCTCTTCACTGAACTAGATCATATTTAGGAAGTTCAATGGCTTGTATATCATCTTTTTTTTTTTTTTTCCTGCTTGACCTATAGGATGAAAGAGAGCTTAAAAGACAGAGGCGGAAGCAATCTAATAGGGAATCTGCTCGCAGATCCAGGTTGCGCAAGCAGGTAATTTCAGATTATCCTACAAGCCATCCTACTTCTTGTTGCACATTTTACTTTTCTAGTGTCCATAATTCCTGTGAGTGCTGAATTCAGGCTGAATGCGAGGAACTAGCCCAGCGAGCTGATGCTCTGAAAGAAGAAAATGCTTCCCTTCGTTCAGAAGTGAGTCGAATCAGGAGTGAGTGTGAGCAGTTGCTCTCAGAGAATGCTGCACTGAAGGTGATGTTGAAATCTTGATATGGTTTGAAAATTGATGTTGGTTTCTTGCTATTTGATGCACCTAGTGTTTCCCTAAAAAAGATGGGGCATGGCAGTAAATTATAGCGCTTATACACTGTTTCAGCCCATAAAAGAGGCCTAGAGGGGCTGATATGGCCGTTCTAACTTGACTTAATCCTCTACTCTCCTAGGATTCAGTTTTTATCAACACATTTTCCATAGTCTGAATATGCTATCTCACATTATTTATAATATAAATTATTCTCCAGGAGAGACTGGGGGAATTACCTGGCAAAGAAGATCTGAGGTCTGGCCGGAATGATGAAAATGTGAGTGATGAACCTCAGCAGACTGTGCAAGAGGAGGATGTAAAGGGTAGTCATTAGACTTAGCTACATGCTGAGTGTTGCTTTCGAGGGATATCAACTAACCAAATAGCACCAGGAAGTCCTTTTTCAGGATAGCCTTTAGTTCAAATTGTATTTTAGAGCTTTCTTCCAAAAAAAATAAATTGTATTTTATAGCCTACCATTCATATTTAAGTCTTAGGATCTGTTTTTCTTCTTGTAACATTATCCATTTCTAATTCCGCTTGGTTTTTTTAGCAGTCAAACCACGCTGGATTGTACGTATCTTTGTATGTATAGTGAGAAGTGTATCGTACCATGTTTTTCTTGTATCGTACGCTCTTTTCTGATTAATTTTGGTTAGTTATTTTTAAAAGTATGTAGTATTTTTTAAAATATTTATTCTTATTAATTTTTTATTTAAAAAGTAAGTGTTATTTTTAATGCATAGAATTATTATATTCATTTGTTTTCTTAATAATTTCATTTTTATTCTATGTATTATTTACGCTGACTCCTGTAACCGTTTTGAACGATAGTGTACAATAATTTCTTTTGGCCAGAATAATGCACAATATCACTTTCTTTTCTTTGAAAGTTTCGGTAATGACAAGAAAACTGAACTATCTTGGATTATAACTGGGTTGTCCAGTTAATGTTATTTTATGTTTTTAATAATTTTTTATTTTAATAGTTGCACAACTTAAAATAAAATGTTAATCATTCTATAAAAACATTTATTTAAAATTAAAATTTGAAACGCCTTAAATTTGAATAGTTTAAATCTCATTGTAATAAACATTAAAATTAAACCTATATTTAAGATGTAAACCTGCCCTTAGATGAATGGATAGTAAACGATGTGCTAAAAATACTATCAGGATCGACCCATGATTTCGTTACACACCACATGTCATTTCTCAGCCCCTGTTGCTTTATGATTTATGAGCTAAGAGCCCGAGTCACATACCCCAAAAGGAAAAACAGTCAAGAAGAAAGTCACGCTGCCTTTTAAAAGGCCTTCAGTATTACAACATCCACAATCCTCTCCAACACCGAGACCACTAGGTCCAAAATCTAAATCCTTAAATGAATTTAAGGTTCAAGACTCACACTTGCAAGTAAGACCAATGAAAATTCCCTCGGGACACAACCCTATGGGAAGAGGTTCACAACGTTTGCAATATATGATTTAGCTAAAGACCAATAATATCCGATAATGAGAGTTGATAAGCCATTTGGACACGTGCACGTTCGCTTACAAATTCAATTAAAAGCTGCATATGGTACGCACGTGTTCTGGTTGTTGCAAGAAGATTTGAGTGCGAGCAAAATGCAAGAAAGAACACGCAACATGCAAGGTCATACACAACATATGCCCCCTCTCTCGGCGCTAAATGACGATCTCTGACAAGATTTGCTGGTCACCAATAACTTACGTAACCGATAACGCAGAGAAAACAATATCTTAGTCACTAATATCAATTAACATGAGCAATTCGCATCCACGATATTATTCAAGGAGGCATGCAGTAAAAAAAAACTAGCGCTTACACCATCAACTATAAATGTAATTCTTCAATCTATGAATGCAGTTACTGCAGTAAATTTCACCTCATCCCCATCAACAATTTGGTGTTGACAACTAACAACTCTCCCACTAGGTCACCATAGACGCTGCTCAGATTCTTCCATAATCATCCACTTGGTGGCCATACATTATAAAAGGCTCATAGAATCGAGAGATCCATCCAGTATCAAGGTGGTCGAATTTACAAATACTTCATCATGCCCCGACCTTCGACGCTCAACTTAGTGGCTTGAAGCTGCCTCTTTTTGGGTGCCCTTAATTGCTGTAGCTTCTTATTCATCTGCAACCAATAATTCATTTATGTCAAATTATTCCCCTTTCAACCTTTAGTGCTGGCTATAACTATGAGATCACAAAACCATATTTTTAAAGAGTGTGCATGCAAGAAAAGCAAAGACCTTCATACGGTGCTGATCTTGTGCAGCTTGTTTTGCACGGGCTCTAATTTCTTCTGGGTCAACTTTAGACGGGGGCCGCACCACAAAATCCAAAGGTGTTGCTTCTGGCCTAGTTGTGAGTTGTCTGGTAGAGGACTGTCCAGACTTCCGCCTACATCACATTAGAATTTTAATCCAAAACATGCAATAGTGACTACCCACTCCAGTCTCACTATTCCACAAGAAAAACAAAAATGCTACCCAACCCTTACTGTGAAAATTCCAAATCAAGATCACCATCTCTAGATTCCATTCCTGAAGCTTTATTTGCAGGCCTACATGAGATTAACAAAATCACACAAGTTCATCGTAAGACATAAGAATATTGCCGGCGACAGCAAAAAACGGTAAAAATGAATACTTCTTCACTGGTGGCCTTCTGAAAGGAATCCTGTCATCATCCATATTTCTCATGTCTTCGAATCTTGTACTCTTGTTAAATATAGGTCGGCTCTGCAATCACAATTTGACAATTACATAAATATGATTAGTTCCTGTTGAACTAACAATTTTTCAATAGGTCCAGTGCAGCATTATTTAGGAGTCCTCTAGTTATCCCTTCTCATAAGTTATTGTCATCCTCTTGAAGATTTTCCCCCCATTCTGATTAATACATTTAGCATAAATCCAAAGAGAGAGGAGGCCTGCTTATGAGTTTGTATGCTATTCGTTACAACTTTATTTTAACCATAAGTTTCCAATGGTTTAAAGGAAGAAAACCACTAGGATAAAAAAATACATGAACACATACAAAAAAGGACTTGCTCAGGATCCATTTTAATCCCCATGCTCACACCTACCAATCCCATGGCAGCTATCAGCCACTGTTGGCATAAGGACAAACATGAGCATAAGGTCTCTTGAGGGGCAAACAAGACCCACGCACAGCCTTGGCACAGGGAGATCTCCTAGGAGGATGACCTCCAACAGAAGATCTTTGATGCCAGGGGGAATTCAATGCCACACAACATGGTTGACTACAAAATCATTTATCAGTTCCCAATTGCCAGTCAAGCCTGCCCATTACATAATGTCCAACCGCAGCACCAAAGTAAAACAAAACAAAGTCACAGTCACTTTGATGAAGGAAACAAAATTAAACTATCCAAAAACAAATAATATGCATGCACTAGCATGGGTACATGCAGATACTAAAAGAATAAATGGAAGTTCATTCCTTCAATAATTGAAAATTCATTAACATGATGACACCCTAGTTTTCTACTCATGAAGCTTGTTGCCACATAGTATAAGAACATGAACGTTTAATAGCTGCAAAGAGAGGTAAAATATACGCTTGTAGCAAGCCTTTATTAGGCAAGCATCACTTACCCATTTATCAACCAGCTCCTTAGCTAGTTTCCTATTTACACTGATTTCTTCATCAGATTTTGACAAAAACATAATGACCTGTCAAGACAACATACAAGAGTCAAAAATGTCATTTCAATGTACATGATCTAAATGATTTGCCACGTTTTCCAATTTTTCAAAATAGAAAAAGGGCAGGCAGGAGGGTTGGTTCAAATATTTGGAATGTTAAGCACAAGTAACCTGACCTTTCCAAGACCACTCTTCTTCAGCTGCTCCCTTCTATCATACTGCTCAAGATCTATAGGAAACTGCATAATAAGCAACATATCAGAAGCCAGATATCTCAATATATCAGGTGCTAGATATTATCGGTCAATGATTACTGTATTTTAAATATCGTAGAGGGAAAACTGAGTACATCATTCAAAATATTCAAAATTGCTGTGCGGATGTTTATGTTTGGTAAGCTTCCGTCTGGTAGGGGCTCAAGCCAATTCTTCAATAAAGTTAGCACTCCATGATCTAAAAACTCCTGCTGAAGTTGTTTCCTGAACATAGTTCAAAATTAAAAATGATAACTAATATAAAGAGAAGACAAGAAACACAAGAAAAACACTGCATGCAAATATGAAACAGACAAGCAGTTGCATACTTTGAGAGGACTTCAGTTAAAAGAGGCAACTTCTTCAGCTTATTTATGGCAGGTTTCCCCTGTCTATTGAGTTCAGCATCCTCTTCAGCTGTAACCTCAAGTTCAGCCATGACATTCTCAACTAGCAAAGCTATCTCTGCAGGACTTCTCTCGCTCTTCTTCTTCTTCTTACCCATCTTGAAAAGTTCCTTGATCTCATCATCCTCCTCACCTTCCTCTGCCTAGTAAATCAGCCAGATATAAGCATAAGGAAAACAACAACAACAAGCAGCCTTATCCCACTAGGTAAGGTCGGCTACATAAATTGTACGATGCCATTATGCTCTAACAGCAACCAAGTTTTTAGAAATATTATTAGTTAAGAGGTTTCTTTCAATAACTTTCATAAATGTCTCCTTCAGTCTTCTTCTACTTCTCTCTATAGGACTTAAGATTATCCATTCCACTCTTCTCATTATTGCCTCCCATGGCAAGCATCAGTAAAACTTTTAATAAAAAAAATAGGATTTGAAAAAAAGAGCAAGGAAGAACAACGAAAACTACTATAAAAATTCTCAAACAGAAGTCTGGTCTCAATAACACAATCAAAAGCAGTGGAACTGAATTCCGGCAAATGGAAAAAATGTGAAGAGATTATATCATCAACCTGGGCATAATCACCAGGAGAACGAGCTTCATGATCACTACCGTATAAAGCAGGTTCCACCCCACTGTCATCTATGAAATTATCATCATCGACTGTCCTGACGCCCTCCTGATCATCCTATTAAATGAAATATAAAATATTTGATCAGTAAGTAGCAAAAGCGTGATCCAAATAATGAGCACACTCAAAAGACAACACATGAATGAGTACCAACTGAGTGTCAAAATTTAGTAGAGCTCAATCAGAAAGAGAGAGAAAAAATTGAAGTTAATCAAGCAACACTCAGCAATATAAGTCATTGAACATTATAAAACTCTCATTAACCACAAACTCTATTCCACCGGCCAAAGTCTGATTAGTACTATTCTTCAATTATCAGCGGAACTAGTCATGAAAATTCACAGTGCAATACCTCAGAGTCGCCCCCAGCAATCGTATCCCACATCTCCTTGACATCGCCATCATGATCCTTTCCTGCCTTAACCGCAAACCCTTTCTTCAACAACCCAGATTTTGAGCCGCCTTTACCATTACTCCCCAACCTCTTCTCCCCCTTGTACCTCTTCTCCTTCTTCCCACTGCCACCATCCTTCCCCTTCCTCTTTCTTCCCTCCCCCTCCTCAGACCCGTCCCTCACAAAACTTGCTGGAATATTACCATCCGCTTCCTCATCCTCATCAACAAGCTCCGGAGCCACAGACTGGCCCCCAGTATCACTTTTCTTGATAAGCCTCTTCCTAGGCTTCGCCTTTGACATGGACGAATCATTGTCATAGACCGGAGTCTGCGATCGTTCTCGCCCGCGCCAATCATCGACATCTTCCTCCAAATCGTCGAATAGCCCTTGCTGTTGGGGCTCGGGAGAGAGCTCGCGATCGGATTGCACGTCATCGTAATCCATCAATGGTTCTCCATCCTCATCCCGATACCTAACAGATAGAAAAGTCGAGAAAAATGAACAAAATCATCTCAGAAATCAAACCCTAAACTGAATTTCCTGAGAGATTGAGGGACATACGGATCGTTGTCATAACCCATGCTTCTGGACAAAGAGTGAATGAAGAATCCAGAAAATCTAAAAGAGAGAAAAAACCAAAGAAGCAAATTTGATCGAGGAGAAGCGTATTTAGCAGAATTAGTTCGATGGATCGCACACGCGCCGGCGAACGGGTCGTTTGGTTTGGGATCTTCTACGAGCAGGTGAAGGTGTTGACTCAGCACCCGGCTCGTTGAAGGGTTTTAAAAAAAAAATAAAGAAATTAGTAATTAGCATTTCAATCTAAAAAAAACGATAATAAAACTCTCTAAAATATATAAATATTATTTGTTTTTTTAAATTATGATATTTAAAAAATTAAATTATCTTTTATATATTAAAAGAATTTTATTATTATTTTTTAAAAGAACTTTTAAAATATTTAGTATTTACTCCCTCCGTTTAAAAATATAAGTCATTTTTAATTGAATTTTATTCGTTAATAAAATAGTTACCTACTTTTAAATTAATTCTATCTTTTCATATTTACCCCTATTAAATACCCTACAATAAATATAAAGTCATTATTAATAATAATAGGGACACTTTTAAATAAAAGGCAATGATTACACCTTAAAAGATTACAAATACCTTATATTTTTAATATTCAACTTCTCAAAAAATACCTTATATTTTTAAACGGATGGAGTAAGTATTTGTTTAAAAATGATTTAATAAATTAATTTTTTTAAATTTATATACAATCTCTCTTGAATGATTTGAAATTTGAAATTTAAATTTGTTATAAATAAAATATAAAATAAAGTGAAAACATATTGTTAAAATAAAATTGTATTTACAATAAAATTAAAATTATTCAAATTAAATACAAGGAGATTAGGCATATAAGTAATCATTTTTAACAATCGATCATAGTTAATATTATTTTCAAAAGAAAAAAAATTGAATGAATATTTAATTTATTATAGTATCTTTTTAATTTAATAATAAGTTAATAATGCATTCGTCAAATGATTGTTTTTATTTACATTTAATGAAAAGTTATAACATATTTTGGTTTTATAATTAAAACAGTTTCATGATTTGGACCTGACGCATTGCTCAATTCAGAACCAGTCCTCTGAGTCAAGATAGTTATGACCAATAAATAGCGCTTTGTTGGAATTTGAAATTTTTAGATATATATATATATATATATATATCTGTTTTGGCGAGAGCACAGAAACCGCACCTACTTATTTACAAGTTGCATCAATTTTCCTTGCAATACGCCATGCTGTCTTCTTTGAGTTCAGCAGTATCATAAAATAGATATGCTCCCTGTATTACATTTACATTCATATGCTTTACAATCTACATTGTGCAGTCGAAAGATTTACAAAGATGGCATTCTAGCTGTTAACAAAATGGTATTTGGATTCAACGTAGCTCTCTGCATCCCACAGGAATGATCCAAAGGCGACCGCCTCCAAAACCAGCATGGTCAGACCAGCGAAAGTGATGGAAAGCATTTCATCATTGGGGGTCTCAATAGAACCATCCTCAGAGACTCGGATGTCTGGCCTCCCGAAGAGGGCCTGAGTCTGCTTTTCAATCAAGGATATAGCTTCCTTGGAACGTATGGTTGCATATCTCTGCAGGGTCTCTGCGTCCAAGTACATTACATAAGATCTGAGCCTGTATGTTTTGGCTTCGCCAGTGTCTATGTAATATTCTCCCTCAATAATGCTATCATTGTCTTCATATGCAGGGATTCTGATCAACGAATCCGGATCCCAGAGCCTGTTGAAGGTGATGGTTCTTCGAAGCTTACATCTGCTTTACCAAAATCCTCAGGAAGGGTTTTCATAGTCCTCTCAAGTTGAAACCGTTCATCAACTCGTTTGAGGAAGTATCCGTACATTATTGAAGCAGCATACAACTTACCGAGTTTTATTTTACTGATCTGAACAGTTGTCTGAAGAGGACCCACCAGCCGTTCCCCTAGGACAAGAGATAGGTGACTTTGTATCATCTCAAATGCCTCTGGGGAGTGAACAGCTTCTAGTTTATGCTCTTGGTTTGGCCAGAAATCCACTCGGCCAGTCGGCTCTGGGGTTGATGATATTTTTGGAATCATTGAAATGCCTTTTTCAACAAACCTCTGAACTATAGAGCAGTATATAATCTCTTCCAATGTTGCACGCTTCTCTTTCTCTCTTATTTCAGCTATCCTCCTGAAATTCAGATTTGAACAAAAGAATCAAGGTTTATCAAGGTATGTAAATGTCTCTAAGGTAAGAACACTTCTGTTAGCAATTTCCCTACTGGCAAAAGTAGTTTAAAACAATGTACCAAAAAAAAAAAAAGTAGTTTAAAACAATGGGGTAAAGGCTTAAAATCCTCAATCCTGGATGACAGGATGAACCAATATGCATGAGGGGAAGAAAAAATTAAAAGATAGAAAGAGCCGCCGTGCGAAAAATGTGATACAATCTAAGCAGGCTTCTGTTTATCAACTTAAACACAGTATGTTGTTCCAAATTACCATGATATATTTCCACCATTACTTAGTGTTTGTAAGGGAGTACATTCTGTTGCTCTATCATTGATCAATAAATCAGATATTGTTTATAAGCAATTGATCAAATCAAAACCTGATCTCATGTCTCTTATTCAATAAATTTTATTTATCAAATTATGAACTATAAATTCAGTTGAGGTTGATTCTATCCCAGATAGGCTCACCATCAGCTTCTTGCTCTAGCCATCAGGTAAGTAAACTGTTCAATCAATTAGGTTATTACCTGTTGATCAACGGGGCACAAAATTATTTTCATACCAGATCTAAAGGACTTACTTGTAAAGAATATCTTGAGCCGAAGATTCTTCTTTCTGGGCATCTTCATCAGTTTGAAGGTTCTCAAGTTGCTGATCAATGGCTGCGGGCAATAGATGAGGATGAGTTTGCAAGATTTGTGCCAAAAGCTGACCAACTGGTGATTCTAATTGAAGGGGAGCAACAGGCACCGAATTATCATTTGCATCAGCCGATGCTTTCAGGACTAAGCCTCTAGATCGGCAGTTGTATAGTTTATAAAGCTTGGAATTGCCCATTGAAGGACAGCTCTACAATAGAAGAGAATACTTTTATAGTGTTTACTTCAAAATAGAACAACAGCAAATTAAATACCAAAAACAATGTTTAGCTTTCCCGCCCATAAGAATGTTCAAGTAAACGTAATAGAATATATGAGTTAACGTTTAACTAGGTAGAAAACTTTATATACGGGTGACATTATGGTACATTTAATGAATATACAATATTTACTAGAATTTCTTGCTTCAGCTTCAATCTAGTTGACTTTCAGCTTGAAGTTAGAAGATGCGGGCCTTATCCTCAAGGTTTCATTTTTTTTTTTTTTTCACTACAATATAGTAATCTCAGGGCACAAGATTTTCCATGGCATGAGGACTTAAATTACAAATCTGAAAGTTTACCCAGGAGAGGGGCCCACGTGCTTTTTCCCCAACCAGTGAAAAGACTAGCCACAGTAAGCTAATAATACATAATGGAACATGCCATGAATCAGGGAAAGTGACAAGGAATCAAGATGAGTAAAATCTATTCATGAAAGTCAAGGCAAATTGAAAAATTTTAATGACCAACAGAGTGACCCTATGAAGTCTTTCTCAAGTTTAAGGTCAAATAGTTAGATTCTTGCAAACTAGATGCCCCATGAAGCGAGAAAAAAACAGCCTTCCAGGTATATCAATGTAATTAAACTATTAGTAATGGAACTTAACCTAGTGTTTTCACAATCCATGCAGCATGAGCTTGTTACATAATTGTAGTATGAAAATGGAAGAAGAGAGGTGAGGAGGAAACAGTCGAGAATAGAGAACGAGGAAACAGAGAGATAAGATACAATGAACTGAATCTATCAATTGTCAACTTGACAACTACTCTGAATACATTGATTTTCCCTTTATTTATAGGCCTAATGACTCTACCCGGCATAACTAACTAGCCATTATACCCTTCTGTGTACAATCATGATTATTTAACAGAACCATAACGGAAAACTGCTTTAATTAATACTTTAAAATCAGAGGAAGTATCATTTGACCAAATAGATTATCAAGTGGAAATTAAATGCAGGAGTGAGTAAAGCCTATTCAACCAAATCACCGTTAAAAGAAGTCTAGAAACGCATTTATTATAACATGAGCTTCCTATAAATAAAACGTTCAAAGACCAACGGGAAAAAAAAAAAACATTGTTTGGCATTTATATCTAGGAATTTGGAACCCCTTTGTTTCCAATACCCTTCCATCAATTGGTTAAGGGAGTTGTTCTTGGACATCCCAGGGAAGATAACTGGGGGTTGGAGTATGCCCTTGGAATATGTGTCCCCCCCACCCACCAAAAAAAAAAAATCTAGTTTCACACTCCTCAGCTTTACAGAAATTCAGAATTCCAAATAATCAATATTACTTTAATCCTATTTATAAAACACTTTCAATATGTTCTATCATAATCAAGAAAACCTTAAAACTCATTAACTGTCTAAAAATTTAATAATTTCTCAACTTTACCCTATTAAATATATATATTTTAACATCATATTTTCCCTCTGGAGGATAAATGGAGAAATTCACAATAAAAATTCAATGAGATAACTTATAAATAAGGCAAAAAAAAAAAAATCTTTGCCTTATAAATAGGACCAAGAGTCTTAGTTCGGGTAGCTGTCACTCCAAAGCAGTTGAAACAGTGTCAGAGACTACGTTCAGTTTCGCTGAAAATAGGAGGAAGAGGAGACAAAAAATTTCAAAGACCTCCTCCCCCAAGCATCTTCCCAGTAAAAAATTGAAACTTCCGAGTCATATGCAGCTAACAACGAGGAAAGTTTTCAAAAGCCCGTCTTATCTAGGCGACAACTTTCAAGACAGAGTATAAGAAAATTCCAGACTAAATACAAAAAAATTTCCAACACAGGCTGCGCTACCAAAATCCGCCGAAGAAGAAAACGATAAGAAATGCAGAGCAAAAATTAAGAGCATGCAGATGAAAGGACTGAAAGCTTACTTTGAGAAGGCCGGCGGAAAGGAAACTTTTGGCGTCGGAAAAGGTATGCAAATGTCGAAATTCAGGCAGCCGGATACCTCCCGACGGTGGCAGTGCCACCAATACATCGCTGATAGCACCTGAGACCTGCATTTTCTCTTCAATTTCTCAATTCCACGCTCCGACGCTAGGGCTCCCGTCACTTCCACACGGAGATAGTTAGAGAGAAAAACAGGGTTGTTGAAGCGAGCCTGGTTGTCCAGTGCAGTGCAGGGAACAAATATTCGAGATTGTAGCGTGTCTATATATATAAACAATAAAGTTAAAAAATATCACCTTTTAATCATAATGTTATGTATTATAATTTAATTATAAGTTGCTTTTTATAAATAAGGTTGTATAAAATAATTCCTTACAGAATTGACAGTTGTATTGAAATGATACATGAATGTGAGTATTTAGTGATGATTAAAAGTCGAGGTGCGAGTTTATAGGCAATGCACGGATAAATTAATGTATATTTTCATGTTCAATGAACAAAAAATTGGAAAACTTGGTTGAAGATACGTTAACATGGAAAAGGCAACTTTTAATTAACATGAATTTGTGATATCAAAACATCAAATATCAAATGATTTATCAACATGCTTTAACTATCACATTGACCTGAAATATTTAATTAACATTGATTCTCTTTTATGATCTCAAAACGTTAAATAAATTGTCAACGGGCTTTAAATATCATATTGATGGTTGATGATGACATTGAATAAAATTTTACAGTAAATGTATTTCTAATTATTACTACAACATGTTAAATTAATATTAACCATGAAAACAAATTTCTTTGATGTTTTGATTTGAATATATATATATATATATATTTGGCATTTCAAGGTACATTAATTATTTTTCAATAACTGGTCAAAAAATAATTATTTTTTAACATGTCAAAACAAGAATACATATTTTAATAACAATTCCAAGTGAAACTAAATTGGAATAAATTTTGTTAGTCCAAAAGAAGCTGTGAGAATATAGAACGGCGTGGATTAAAGTACTAAATATATTAGATTATGCTCCTTCAATTTTGAATATTAGTAACATTCTAAAAGCATAATTTGATTTATTTTATAAATTATTAATTGATGAGATTGTTTTATTTTAAATTAAAATTATCAAACTATCTTTAAAAAATGAGAGAGAGAGAGAATAATACTCTTTCCATTTCAAATTATAAGATACTTTTAGATAAAATTTTATATATCAATAAATCTCATTAAATACACTTAACAACCTTATATTTTCAAAATAAAAATATAAACTTCTCAAAATACCCATCATTTAATATATTGAAAAAAGAAGTGATGGAAATTAATTATAGAGAAAGAAAGAATAATATTGAAATTGGTGTATTAATGAAACCTTAATTTATTTAAAATATATTATATTCTGGGACGAAAAAATTCCTTCACGAGTGCTTTATATTTAGGACGAAGGGAGTATTATATAATTAGCTTACTTTTTGCTTGAGGGTTATGTTTGAAATTTTACTTATCTTTATTCCTTATACTTTATTATATTGATATTGATGAGATTAATAAAAATGACTTATAAATAAGATCAAAGAGAATATTAATTTATTTTTCACCCAATTCAAATCATGCGAATTGATAATTACTTGGGCCAACCCATCTATTCATGTTAATTTTAAAGAAATAAAAATCTTAAATTTAATTTATAAGCTATGCAAGAAAATTTTAAACACATTGCATCATCTATGGGGGCCAATTTATCTAATATTCTTCTCAAACATAACAAGATCATAGCATTGATCGAGTTAGCCAAACAAAAGTGATTGTAGGCACTAGGGACGATACTATGGACTAAAAAAAAATCTGTTCTTAATTGGAATGATTTTTATTGCCTCCTAGTCTGCTCAATAAATAAGCCAGTCAGGTCAATCATTTTTTTAACTTGACTTATATTTTTTTCTCCACGTAAAAGTTATATTTTTCTTAAAAAATATTTTACAAAAGCTAAGAGATTTCAAGCCATGAAAAGAAATTAATATAATGTTTTGAAAACTGGACCAATACAACTTGCTGATTTAGGGAACTGGTGTAGACATCATAAAAAAATCACGAGTCTATAGATTCGGCTAATCAACTTAAGAAACAAGCGTGTGCATGTGATGAAAATTAAGGGCATTCACAGGATAAGATTGGAACAATCTTGTCCTGTGTCCCATCCTTAAAAAAAATTGAGACTAAATTTTTATCCTGTGTCTCATCCCGTTTCAAAAATTATTCCATCCCATTAAAGATCGGGACAAGAAGAGGACATCCCACCATCTCAATAAATCAGACAATGTTGAAAAATGAATTAAGTAATAACATCCATTAAAATTTTAAATTATATAATTTATTAAGTTTAAAATCAAAACAACACAAGTACATAAATCACAACAATTTAAAATCAATTATTAAATTACATTAATCACAACTACACATTACGATAGCAATTATAAGTGATCTCTAAGCTATGAGAGTAACAACAATAGGCAAGTGAAGCACAACATCAAATCATTTTTCTTCTACTTTAGTTGAAATGTGTTAGTTAATTACTCTTTCAAAAATAAAACAAGAAATAGATATAAATAAAAGTTATTAAATAGATAGATATAAGAATAAATTGTATTAATATAATTAATATATTATAAAGAAAGATATCATCCTATTTACTCTATATCATTAAAATTATCAATATAAAAAACTTTAGTTTTGTATAAGAATTGCAAATATTGAAATTATAATTAATATAAGTATAAATTATATTAATATATTTAATGTATATTTTTAAAATAAAAAATAATATATATAATTTTCAGGACGAGACGGGACATCCCAATGGTAATCACATGTTCCGTCCCGTCTCAATCTTCTTTCTCATCCCACCTCATAAAGTCTTATCCCAATTGCTTTCAGGCCAGGACGAGACTCAGGATATGATCAAGATAATATTAGGCCAATTAAAATGGATACAAGTTAAACACTCCTAATGAAAATGATAGAGTATTGCTAGATACATTACCTTTTTTTTTGTTTTTATATGTGTGTGTATATATATATATATATATTATTTATAACATATGTATCAATTTATTAATGGTTGGTTTACCCTTATTATTTATAATCATGAATCAATATCTTCATCAGTTCAATGATTAATTTGATTTGTTAACATTGAAAATTAAGGAGTTGGTTGATGATAAACATCACAAAGACTTCATTGCATTAGAGAAAATACAATCCTAATTCAAACTCATGAGCAACTTTTGGCCCCAAAAAGACCGCCTGACAACAAAATGTAAGGTGCAAGCATCACCGGAAAAAAATTGCTTTGTTATACTTTAAAATTATACAAATAATAAGGTTGATTTTAGTTAAAAAGATTAGTCTTTTATAATGTGACAAGTTAATATTTGAATATTCACTAAAAGAAGTATTCATATTTAATATTACAATTGTGTTTCAAATGTGATTATTTTCAATAGAATGTTACACATCGGTAGCTAAAATATATATACAACAAGTAAATCCAAAGTTTATATGCTCAAGTTGTTGACAAGTTCAATCATAAACAAACTAAAGTCCTATTTGATACGAATGACTAACAGAGTGAACTAAGTAATATCAAGTTTTTGTGTTTGATAGGTGATAATAAAAATTTTAATTTCAAACCCAATTCCATTTAGGTGGAATTATTTAATACCACCTTAGACACTATAAAAATAATGTCGAGGCTGAATTTTTTAAGGCCAAAATAACCTTAATTCCTGATACAACATATTATAATTTTAGGTCAGTTCATCTTCTTTTTTCAAGGCGTCGATAACTTCTCCTTCTCCTTCAGTTTATCTTCTTCGTTTTCTTGTTCCAGATCCACAAACTCAACTTAAATTTGTTTGTTAATATAAAGTTTTTGGTCCACAAACTAGTGTTTGGGTAGTTACTGCGTTTCTTCTTCCTTTGCTTCCCATCCAAGCATCTCCAATCCACGGACATTGGCCACGGGCAAGAATCAAGATCAGCTTGCCAACTGGTGCAAGAACAACTCTGTTAGCTTCAATTCAGCAGGCCTAGACAGGAGCACGGACGACTCTATTAGCTTCAATTTATCACTGGATCGCTTTTGTTTTCTTGTTCCAAATCTAGTGATGGGAGTATAGTTTACTCTGATTTCTTCTTTCGATCTTTTAGATTTGGCGACGTGAACAAAAGAACTCCATTTTCTTGTTCACGCGCCATCATTTTCTTGTCTAGAATTTCGGATGAAGTTGACAGCCAAATTATTAGAAAAAGATGAGGATAATTATATCTTTTACTTGATTTTTGTTTGATTTGAATATTCAATTTTTTTTAAGTTCTCATGACACACTAAACATAATTTTAACACGAATTCTCTCTCCTACTCCCACTTCCAATCTCATTCTAATTTTCAATCCTTTAAAAGTTAATGCTTCATATCAAATAGGGTTGAAGGGTGAATCTAGACTTTACTCAATGCTAAGCTTGTGTGAGGAATAAGGCAGAATTGGTTATGCACATAAGGCCATGTTTAGTATATCAAAATTGTGAAAAGAGAAATGGAATTGGATATGAAATTTTTCAGTTGGTTTGTTTATATATCAGAATTGCTTTCTTGAAGGAATCTGATTCCATCAAAATTGATGGAATCAATTTCATTGTAGAGACCATGGAATCCACTAACTCAACATGAAATTGGCTTATGTGTCATTAAAAAAATAAAATAAAAGGTATTTTGAACTTTAAAAGTACATTCTTTATTTTTTTATTATTAAATTTTTCATTAAAAAAATAAAATAAAGGGTATTTTGATTTTTTATATTTTAAATACATATACTTATTAAAATTATATTATGATTCCATCTTCATACAAATACACTTTTAAAACTTAATTTCCGATTTTAATTCTGATTCAATTATAATTTCGATTCCGATTCTATCAAAAACTCTTCTATCATACCAAACGAGACCTAAGTGACTTCGAAAAGAATTTATAGTCAAAGTCCGAAAGTACAAATCATTTTTAAACAATGATAGCGAGTTATATTGGTGTTGCAAAAATTTCATGTGAATTAGATTTTATCATAATACTTTCAAACAAAATTTCGGAACGAAATTACATTCTAACTTGTAATGATTTTTTTTTTTTTTCACATTGCAACATTTTTTAAACT